TATAGTTATTATAATTATAAATTTCTTTTGTGTTTCATTAATATTTTATAAGTATTTAACCTTCGTTCCCTGTAAGAAAATTGAGTTCGTCCACATACTAACCAGGATTGTCTGGTGGCCATTTTGAATTTGTCGATTCATAATTTTGACGTGATAGTCCAGATAAACTTTAGTAATACGACCCTATCATTTATCCCATTCGATAGATTTTAAAGAATTAGTAAACACTAGCATCTAATAGTTAAGTGCATCCATATTTTAAGTCCCAAGAATGTCCTGAATTTACATTGAATGTCTCTTAACTTTATTATCATTGAATTGAATATCATTAGGTAGTCCAAACTGAAATTAACTATTGATTGCAGACTTCTGGAGTGAGTATGTCATGAAAGAACTTTTGATTGTAAGCTCTATGCCACAAATTTTATAAAAATATCTTAATAAATAAAAAAGTTATGCGATTTTTAAAAAAGCAAAATTTGGTAAAAAACTGATTTTCAAAAAGTGCCATTTTTTGAGAACCCATATTTTCTAAACTAAATAACATAGAAGTTGGTAAAGTTACTGCAAAGTTTGTAATATATATGCCCAATTTTTTTTCAGTCATCTAAAATGAGTCTTTCTAAGGTAAACAAAATAATTGAAAATGACAAAATTGCGTTTTGGTCACTTTTATTTTCATTAAAAAAAAAATAATAATTTTTTTTTTGTTTTTGCTTTGGACATAGAATAACTCTAAAACTATTTTGTTGGTAACATTAACAGGAAGAATGTGTTCATTATTTTCAAAAATCACATGAGCTAAAATATTATTTTCAAAAAAATGCCACAGTTATCTAGTGCAGGAGAAACAGAATCAAAATTTAGTGGAGTAATGTAATGTAATCTAATAAAGACGTGATGCCTACAAGTGATGCAGCAGTTGATGCTACATTCAAACCTATCAGGTTGATAACTGCTTTGGGGGAACAGTTTTTAAAACGACAACTCCACATCTTTGTATGTCTAGTTTCCCTCAACCTTGATCTTGTGGAGCATCAAGAGTAAGTGATATGTTTTGGGAACTGTAGGGGGGTGGGGTGGGCTTGGCCTTCTTCCCTTCCCTTGTAAGGAAAGTTCTGGATAGGCCACCATAAAAATGTCTCCAGCTATGGAATAAGTAATTTATTTAGTGATTGATAAAATATAATTAAATTTACTACTAGCCTATTGTGTAGGCCTACTATTTGTCCTATGACTGTAGCTGGAAACATATGAAAAAGCCTGAAAACACATTTTTGTTAAAAGTAATTTATACTTGATAGTATATTTTTAATATTAATTCTATTGAATGAAATGTTCGTTGCTTGTGCCACAATGGTTGAGATATCCAATGATGAAGGTGCCATACTGTGGTTCTCAACATCCTATAGGACAACTTAACTGTCCTTCATTGTTACTATATGCATATAAAATAAATAAATAATGAGAAATACTACTAGTACTGCTTACATTTACAACTAATATAACATTTAAAACTAAGTCACAACATGTACAATCTTAATAAATTGCAACACCATCTAAAAATTGATCTGGTACATTTTATTAAGGAGACTGGCGCAGACCATTTCACATTATTCAGCAGGGGAATCAGAATCAGAGTGTACAACAGAAAATAAAAAATTAATCACATTAGTCCTTAAACTTTAGTGTCTTTTGTTTTAAATAAATTGATAAAAATGTATAGTTATTATAATTCTAAATTTATTTTGTGTTTCATTAATATTTTATATGTATTTAACCTTCGTTCCCTGTAAATAATTGAGTTCGTCCACATAGTAACCAGGATTGTCTGGTGGCCATTTTGAATTTGTCGATTCATAATTTTGACGTGATAGTCCAGATAAACTGTAGTAATACGACCCTATTATTGATCCCAGTCGATAGATTTTAAAGAATTAGTAAACACTAGCATAAGTGCATCCATATTTCAAGTCCCTAGAATGTCCTGAGTTAAATAGCTTCACGTCTAAACACACCCTATGTACAAGCGTAGTTCACACGCTAATACCGTGGACTAGTAGCGTTCAAATTTACATTAATAACGTGTACTAATTAAACCAAACTGACATTCAAACTTAAAATTCATTTATTAAAATGGAAATGAAACTTTAAAAATGATACTTCAACTTGTTTGAAGGCTCTAGCAAGGGTAAAATCCGTTTAGCATCATCGGTCGTCAACCTTTAAAACCGTTCGGCGAGCTACTCACCCGGGGCTGAAAGTTGACTCGAGGGTTACATGCTTATTGAGGGCACGGCTTCGCGACCGTAAATCAGAAATACTTGAATTTACAACACAAATTAGTTATAAAACCGAGCTTTATATCGGTGTAAAAATTGAAACAGATTTAGTTTGTTTTCGTGTATATATTGTCATTTAAATTTTAAAAACTGATTTTTTAAAATGAAATAAGCAAGTTATTTTTTCAATTTATACATCAAACGATAAACTAGAATTCGCTCTTTAAAAGGACATTAAGATTATGCTTCTACGATGCTTCGTCGCGAAGCCGCAACCAAATGAAACAGTGTGGGGTCGATCGGTACGCGCAAAACGGTGAAATTTGTTGACATAACTGATACTTTTCAAACAAATATAAAACACATTCAAACATATGTTACAGATATAAAAATACCAGATTACGACAGATAAAGACTTAAACTTTATTGACATATAATTTTTATTCTTATAGGACAACTAGAAGTAGTGAAATTTGTTTTTTGAAAACCGCAAAAACTGACCCTAAAACGCACTTTTTCGCCAGTTTGGACTACCATATATAAATACACCAAGATGGAGGCATCCGAATCTGCTCAGGTATGTAGAGGAGTGGACGCCGCCAAACGACACTGAAGCCCAGACACACTACACAAATATTTAAAATTAAAATATACCGTTAGCTTCGTACGTTCATTTTAAACAGAAATCGTGTATTGCAGATTTTCTGATCTCGTCAACTCTGACAAATAAATATACAAACAAATCAATGGCGGAACTCGAAAAAAAAAAGAGCCACACCGCAAAAAAAAAACTATTATATATATATGTATATATATATACATATATATGTGTGTGTATAAAATTATATAAACACGGAATACGTACATATATTTCTGGCCTCATCGGGTTTTGGAAAAAAAAAGTTTTTTTTTTTTTTTAAATTAAAATAAATTATAACATGTAAGTAAGTGCATTAGTTTTTGTTTTTTTTTTAAATTTCATTTAAGTTAGCTGTAATACTCCTGTTATCTAGCTGGTTAAAAGAATATAAACGTGAAAGCTTTGTATGTATAATGGCTTCTCCTGTTATGTTTATTTTTACGTTTTTTTTTAATTTATATTATTAAGTTTAAATACATTTCCTTTTTATACTATGTCATTATTTAGTATGTATTTTTTTAGTAATTAAGAGAAGTAATTGCTTTTTAATTTGTTTAGTACAAATATATTAAAAGGAGCTTATGAGCACCCCATTTAACTATTTAAAAAAGGGAAATAAGTCATGGAAGTGTTATTATCATTCACATTACAGCTCATGCACATATTTTTTTTTAACTTAACAGCATGTGTTAGCTACTGTATAACATTACTACTGTAGTATATCTGTTTGTTATTTTCAAAATGGGAAGGGGGGGTCTGGCTTTTTGTGGGGGAGGGGGAAGGTAAAAATCGTTTTTAAAAAGCGTGACGTCATTTATGGATGACCCCAAAACAAAAATAAGTAAACGTAAATACAACCGAAATTATTATTATATTATTTCTGATTATTTGTAGAATACAGGATAGTACAGAATAGTAGCTCTAACAATACAATAAAGTACATTTTACATTGTAAAATCACAATGTATAATGGGCCCCTAACCTACGCTATAAAGAAACAAAATTCGTCTTAATATTATCTAGCGGCCTCTTTTCAAAAGAATTTTGCCGACAACAGCGTGCGTTTGATTGTAGAAGAAAGAGGACACGGCTTTCACAATGGTTTAAAAACAAAGGGAATAAAATACTTAAAAAAAACTTTTTAAAAAACCACGTTTTTCTTGTGGACTAAAAAGTAGAAAATAACTATTTACATACATTTGATGACAAAAAACGTGGGTCGGGCAGATGGGTCGGGAAATTTGATGGTGAACGTACCCACGTTTTTTGTCATCAAATGTATGTAAATAGTTATTTTCTACTTTTTAGTCCACAAGAAAAACGTGGTTTTTTAAAAAAAGTTTTTTTTAAGTATTTTATTTTCTCCTTTTTAGTCCGTTGCTACACATGAAACACGTGGTTTTTAAAAAAGTGTTTATAAATACACGGACTAAAAAAAAATCTTGAGCGACCAGGATTCGAACCTGGGTTGTCGCGGCCACAACGCGAAGTACTAACCACTATACGATCACGGCCAGCGCGCTCACATCGATTGGGGCCGAAGTAACTGTATCAATAGGCCTCTAGTCTTGTCGGTATCTTTAGAAATCATGTCCTCAATTTTATGGTCCTTGGGGCGTAATTAAATTAAGCTAATTACGGTCACTAATTGCTAGTTTTTATGATTGCATCTGAAATTGTTAGGCGAAAGTAGCATGCATGCCAAATTTCAGGTCTCTAGAGCAATCAGAAGTGGGCTAATTTTCGATGTCAATTTTAACAACAAACACACAAACGCGAAGCTGAGTTAATAAAAACGTGTTAATAAAATACTTAAAAAAAACTTTTTAAAAAAACACGTTTTTCTTGTGGACTAAAAAGTAGAAAATAAATTTTTCTTTTGTGCTTCCTCGATCTGTGCAGATTCTTGTGATGACTGACAAAAAACGTGGGTACGTTCACCATCAAATTTCCCGACCCATCTGCCGACCCACGTTTTTTGTCAGTCATCACAAGAATCTGCACAGATCGAGGAAGCACAAAAGAAAAATTTATTTTCTACTTTTTAGTCCACAAGAAAAACGTGTTTTTTTTTTAAAGTTTTTTTTAAGTATTTTATTTTCTACTTTTTAGTCCGTTGCTACACATGAAAAACGTGGTTTTTAAAAATGTTTTTTATATAGTTTATTTTCTACTTTATCTAATGACTTGATTAAGTATGACTTGACTAAGTGTTTATAAATACACGGACTAAAAATCTTGAGCGACCAGGATTCGAACCTGGGTTGTCGCGGCCACAACGCGAAGTACTAACCACTATACGATCACGGCCAGCGCGCTCACATCGATTGGGGCCGACGTAACTGTGTCAATAAACCTCCAGTCTTGTCGGTATCTTTAGAAATCATGTCCTCAATTTTATGGTCCTTGGGGCGTAATTAAATTAAGCTAATTACGGTCTCTAATTGCTAGTTTTTATGATTGCATCTGAAATTGTTAGGCAAAAGTAGCCTGCATGCCTCATTTCAGATCTGTAGAGCAATCAGAAGTGGGCTAATTTTCGATGTCAATTTTAACAACAAACAAACAAATCCACAAACGCGAAGCTGAGTTAAGAAAAACGTGTTAAAAAGAATATACAAGAGCGTAGCTGTGGGGCCCTAAATGACGCCCCCACCCCACCCCCGCATTGCGGGGTCTTGCGGCACTGTAGTTCCGCCCCTGAAACAAATATGTCACCAAACGCCACTGGGTCCAAGTACACTCCGATAGAGTTTGGGTTTTTACAAAAGTTTACTGGTAGCATTCTATTGCGCTATTCACAGCTGGTGGATGTTGAGCAAGGCTTAAGGCATCTGTCTGTATGTGCCGCCTTAAGGCATCTGTCTGTATGTGCCGCCTTAAGGCATCTGTCTGTATGTGCCGCCTTAAGGCATCTGTCTGTATGTGCCGCCTTAAGGCATCTGTCTGTATGTGCCGCCTTAAGGCATCTGTCTGTATGTGCCGCCTTAAGGCATCTGTCTGTATGTGCCGCCTTAAGGCATCTGTCTGTATGTGCCGCCTTAAGGCTTCTGTCTGTATGTGCCGCCTTAAGGCATCTGTCTGTATGTGCCGCCTTAAGGCATCTGTCTGTATTTCTGTTGCTCCCTCCTGGCCTGGATCCGCCTGCTGATGACGTAGACGATGACGATAATGACGACGACAAGACTGAGGCAGCTGGCAATGACGAGTGGAACCAGAACCTCCTCCTCCCTCTCCTCCCTCTCGGAGCAGTGGACCGTAGCTGGATGGGAGGGGGCGTAAGAAAATGTAATTTAATGACATCACAAAGGGAAAAGAAGAAAATTCATTGAACGATTTAACAGTTCGTTATTAAGAAATTCGTAACACGTCAGTCACACAGAAAACCTGGATCTGTCAAAAAAAAGCATATGTCACATCATCTGTCACTGTCACACCAGCATCTGTCACTGTCACACCAGCATCTGTCACACCAGCATCTGTCACTGTCACACCAGCATCTGTCACTGTCACACCAGCATCTGTCACTGTCACACCAGCATCTGTCACTGTCACACCAGCATCTGTCACTGTCACACCAGCATCTGTCACTGTCACACCAGCATCTGTCACTGTCACACCAGCATCTGTCACTGTCACACCAGCATCTGTCACTGTCACACCAGCATCTGTCACTGTCACACCAGCATCTGTCACTGTCACACAGCATCTGTCACACCAGCATCTGTCACTGTCACACCAGCATATGTCACTGTCACACCAGCATCTGTCACACCAGCATCTGTCACTGTCACACCAGCATCTGTCACTGTCACACCAGCATATGTCACTGTCACACCAGCATCTGTCACTGTCACACCAGCATCTGTCACTGTCACACCAGCATCTGTCACTGTCACACCAGCATCTGTCACTGTCACACCAGCATCTGTCACTGTCACACCAGCATCTGTCACTGTCACACCAGCATCTGTCACTGTCACACAGCATCTGTCACACCAGCATCCGTCGCTGTCACACCAGCATCTGTCACTGTCACACCAGCATCTGTCACTGTCACACCAGCATCTGTCACTGTCTCATCAGCATATGTCACTGTCACACCAGCATCTGTCACTGTCACACCAGCATCTGTCACTGTCACACCAGCATCTGTCACTGTCACACCAGCATCTGTCACTGCCACACCAGCATCTGTCACTGTCACACCAGCATCTGACACTGTCACACCATAATCTGTCACTGTCAACATATACCAGTGGGAAAGTCCGCTGACGTGACCCCGAAGGCCGCGACCTTGACATAGTGAAAGGTGAGTGTGACGCCCCGCTGGGTTGAGCCGACCTGCAGACTCAGGTCACGCTGACACACGTGACTGGTGCCCGCCCCGCTAGTAAACAAGGCCAGATGGTGTCTGTCCACCGTCACCAGGCCGCCTGAAAGACAAAACAAACATCCAACACACAGCTAGCGTAACACTCCACTCAGTCGTCCAGTTGACTACAATCACTCAATCACAGATTCTGTCATCACCCTTCAATCATTCACAAGCTGCAGACAACAGACTTCACTACTATTTTCTGACACATCACCTAATTACTGACACATAACCTAATTACTGACACAACCTAATTACTGATAGATAACCTAATTACTGACACTTAACCTAATTACTGAGACATAACCTAATTACTGACACATAACCTAATTACTGACACATAACCTAATTACTGACACATAACCTAATTACTGACACATAACCTAATTACTGACACATGACCTAATTACTGACACATAACCTAATTACTGCCACATAACCTAATTACTGACACATAACCTAATTACTGACACATAACCTAATTACTGACACATAACCTAATTACTAACCTAATTACTGACACATAACCTAATTACTGACACATAACCTAATTACTGACACATAACCTAATTACTGACACATGACCTAATTACTGACACATAACCTAATTACTGCCACATAACTTAATTACTGACACATAACCTAATTACTGACACATAACCTAATTACTGACACATAACCTAATTACTGACACATGACCTAATTACTGACACATAACCTAATTACTGACACATAACCTAATTACTGACACATGACCTAATTACTGACACATGACCTAATTACTGACACATGACCTAATTACTGACACATAACCTAATTACTGACACATAACCTAATTACTGACACATAACCTAATTACTGACACATAACCTATTTACTGACACATAACCTAATTACTGACACATGACCTAATTACTGACACATGACCTAATTACTGACACATGACCTAATTACTGACACATAACCTAATTACTGACACATAACCTAATTACTGCCACATAACTTAATTACTGACACATAACCTAATTACTGACACATAACCTAATTACTGACACATAACCTAATTACTGACACATAACCTAATTACTGACACATGACCTAATTACTGACACATGACCTAATTACTGACACATGACCTAATTACTGACACATAACCTAATTACTGACACATAACCTAATTACTGGCACATAACCTAATTACTGACACATAACCTAATTACTGACACATAACCTAATTACTGACACATAACCTAATTACTGACACGTGACCTACTTTCTGATGCCCCTTTGAAGACATCTGTATTAGACAGGTCGTAGCTGACCGAGACGTCGCTCATCGACCAAGTGGCGTTCTTGTCTGTTTCCTGGGATACATCATGCAGGTCATTTGGTGTGGTCAGCTGCCTTTTGGTCACTGGTCTATAATTTGGTGTGGTCACTGGTCTATTTGGTGTGGTCACTGGTCTATTTGGTGTGGTCTATTTGGTGTGGTCACTGGTCTATTTGGTGTGGTCACTGGTCTATTTGGTGTGGTCACTGGTCTATTTGGTGTGGTCACTGGTCTATTTGGTGTGGTCACTGGTCTATTTGGTGTGGTCACTGGTCTATTTGGTGTGGTCACTGGTCTATTTGGTGTGGTCTATTTGGTGTGGTCAGTGGTCTATTTGGTGTGGTCAGTGTTCTATTTGGTGTGGTCAGTGGTCTATTTGGTGTGGTCAGTGGTCTATTTGGTGTGGTCACTGGTCTATTTGGTGTGGTTACTGGTCTATTTGGTGTGGTCAGTGGTCTATTTGGTGTGGTCACTGGTCTATTTGGTGTGGTCACTGGTCTATTTGGTGTGGTCACTGGTCTATTTGGTGTGGTCTATTTGGTGTGGTCACTGGTCTATTTGGTGTGGTCACTGGTCTATTTGGTGTGGTCACTGGTCTATTTGGTGTGGTCACTGGTCTATTTGGTGTGGTCACTGGTCTATTTGGTGTGGTCACTGGTCTATTTGGTGTGGTCACTGGTCTATTTGGTGTGGTCTATTTGGTGTGGTCAGTGGTCTATTTGGTGTGGTCAGTGTTCTATTTGGTGTGGTCAGTGGTCTATTTGGTGTGGTCAGTGGTCTATTTGGTGTGGTCACTGGTCTATTTGGTGTGGTTACTGGTCTATTTGGTGTGGTCAGTGGTCTATTTGGTGTGGTCACTGGTCTATTTGGTGTGGTCACTGGTCTATTTGGTGTGGTCACTGGTCTATTTGGTGTGGTCTATTTGGTGTGGTCACTGGTCTATTTGGTGTGGTCACTGGTCTATTTGGTGTGGTCACTGGTCTATTTGGTGTGGTCACTGGTCTATTTGGTGTGGTCACTGGTCTATTTGGTGTGGTCACTGGTCTATTTGGTGTGGTCACTGGTCTATTTGGTGTGGTCTATTTGGTGTGGTCAGTGGTCTATTTGGTGTGGTCAGTGTTCTATTTGGTGTGGTCAGTGGTCTATTTGGTGTGGTCACTGGTCTATTTGGTGTGGTTACTGGTCTATTTGGTGTGGTCAGTGGTCTATTTGGTGTGGTCACTGGTCTATTTGGTGTGGTCACTGGTCTATTTGGTGTGGTCACTGGTCTATTTGGTGTGGTCACTGGTCTATTTGGTGTGGTCACTGGTCTATTTGGTGTGGTCACTGGTCTATTTGGTGTGGTCACTGGTCTATTTGGTGTGGTCACTGGTCTATTTGGTGTGGTCTATTTGGTGTGGTCAGTGGTCTATTTGGTGTGGTCAGTGTTCTATTTGGTGTGGTCAGTGGTCTATTTGGTGTGGTCAGTGGTCTATTTGGTGTGGTCACTGGTCTATTTGGTGTGGTCAGTGGTCTATTTGGTGTGGTCAGTGGTCTATTTGGTGTGGTCAGTGGTCTATTTGGTGTGGTCACTGGTCTATTTGGTGTGGTCACTGGTCTATTTGGTGTGGTCACTGGTCTATTTTGTGTGGTCACTGGTCTATTTGGTGTGGTCACTGGTCTATTTGGTGGGGTCACTGGTCTATTTGGTGGGGTCACTGGTCTATTTGGTGTGGTCACTGGTCTATTTGGTGTGGTCTATTTGGTGTGGTCTTTTTGGTGTGGTCTATTTGGTGTGGTCAGTGGTCTATTTGGTGTGGTCAGTGGTCTATTTGGTGTGGTCTATTTGGTGTGGTCTATTTGGTGTGGTCTATTTGGTGTGGTCTATTTGGTGTGGTCTATTTGGTGTGGTCACTGGTCTATTTGGTGGGGTCACTGGTCTATTTGGTGGGGTCACTGGTCTATTTGGTGTGGTCAGTGGTCTATTTGGTGTGGTCTATTTGGTGTGGTCTATTTGGTGTGGTCTATTTGGTGTGGTCTATTTGGTGTGGTCAGTGGTCTATTTGGTGTGGTCACTGGTCTATTTGGTGTGGTCTATTTGGTGTGGTCTATTTGGTGTGGTCTATTTGGTGTGGCCAGTGGTCTATTTGGTGTGGTCTATTTGGTGTGGTCAGTGGTCTATTCGGTGTGGTCAGTGGTCTAGTGGGTGTGGTAGTTGTTTCATCAGTGACCGTATATCCTACCTGTTTTGAAAAGGTCAGGTTGACCTGGAAGGTTCTATTCCCCCACTCCAGTACTAGACTGGACCTGTTCTCTGCACATGCGCCATACGCTGCTACATCCACCGGTAGTTGGATGTTGGCAAACGCGATATAAGTCTGGAATATTTTGGCAAGTCATAAACTAAATGAGGCCCATAGCTTAAGACAATGGCATATCGGCTATGGTAAGATAAGTAAAGCTCGAGTAAACCGATAAGTCCCTAGTGTTGATGGGGCTCGGTAGCAACCCATCTAGGAGAGACAACTCCAAAATCAATCAACTGCTGACTTGTAGTTTGTTCTTGGTGGGAAGACAGTTGCTGATCAGATGCATTCCAGATATTTGAGGAAAAGATGTTTTCTATAAGGATGGGCAGCTATAGTAAATGAGGTTAGGGGAAATGTTGAGTTAAGATAAACTATTTAATAATTGTAATGGCAGAGATACCATCAAAACAACAAATGTAATGGGGTTTGTATGACTAATTAATGAATATCCTATAAATAATAGCAAAATGTTGTAGTGGTCGTCCATAAAAGACTTTGAGGTAGTGGGGGAGATTTGGACCTTTGTGTCAAGGGCGGGAGGGGGTTCAGAAAGTAAGATGACACTTTTCCATGTTCAACAAACACTCATGTTAAGAAACTGAATTTAAGCCTTTAATTTGCATTATTAAAAGTTGTTTTATAAATTGTTATAAAATAATTCATCAATAGGCCTACATTGAATGTTGGAAAAGCTCATAGGTCTAAATATTTTATGAAAATCGGTGCTTTAAAAACAAAATAGCGGGGGGGGGGGGTGTTGGCTTAGGTTTACTTTTAAGGGGGAGGTCTGGCATCGTTGTGACATCGTTAATAGATGACCCCCATAGTCAGAGGTCGATCTAGATTGATTAGGCCTATATTAAAATGTTGATATTAATTACGCTTTACTTATTATTACAATGGAATATAGCCTAGTAGTTTATTTATATTAAATAATATAACATCCCCTTTCACCACAACACCCAGACTATACTAATCCAAATTAAAATAAAAATGTTTGGTAAATTACTATTATATTATTAGTAATTTTGTGTTTAAATATTTCTAGCCTTAGTAAAACCGGAAGTGACTTTGTACTCATTTCACAAATGTTATAAAATATTCAATTTTGGTTCAAAAATATGCTTTCTGGCAACACAAAGTGAAACCACTTTTGGAACCACTTTTCCAGTCTATTATGCATTGTGATGACAACTATATATATATATATATATATATATATATATATATATATATATATATATATATATATATATATATATATATATATATGTATATATTGAAAAATTGAAAGTAGAATAAGTTCCACTTTCGGTTATCGGAAATCGCTGAAAAGTTTATACCTAACTACAAATTTGATATAATATATTATGTTTATACATTTTCATCAACCTAACGGTAACGGACTCAAGGTATCGTGTTTACAGACACTAATACACAGAATTGCAAACCCCATTTTTTTCCGATTTGATTACGTGTAGAACCTCAAAATTTTACTCAAACCCCATTTATTATGTTTGCTCGATTAAAATAAGTCCCCAATACTCCGTATATTATGAAGTACTGAGGTAAAAAAGGATGAAAACTGTCAAAATTTCATGTGATTTTTTGTGCACGATTACGATACTTGGAGTCTATACTCTGTATACGAGAAAGTAAAAATGTGAATGCAAATTCCGCGGACGTTCAAGAAGACATTATTGTTTGAATATTATAATGACCGTGGATTGATAAAGTGCAATGTGGTAAAACACGGATATTTTAAATACTGCCTTTTGTTTATTTTATAGATAAGTTGGGGTATTTTAGTCGTTTAATAAGATGAATCAGGCGGTTCCGCCGGCGCCCCTGCAGGGTGCGATGTGGAGCCTCGGGCTGGACTGTGAGCACAATACAATTATGTTTGAATTTAAGCTGTTTATGTTATGTGTTTGCGTTAGCGTTTGTGCTTTTTTTGTGTTGTTTTGCGTTTGCATTTGTGTTTGCGTTTGCATTTGTGTTTGCATTGTTTTTGTGTTTGCGTTTTCTGTTGTGTTTGTGTTTTCTTTTGTGTTTGCGTTGTGTCTAGTTTTGTTCTGTTCCCAAGTTGGAGCTTGGCTATTTATGTATGTATATATATATATATATATATATATATATATATATATATATATATATACATTTCTTTTTCAAAGATGCGGCTCGCAGAGCAAGAACTGATGTGTTGAACTGACCTCATGCACAATTCCCTCGGGCACTCGATAGTACACCTGCATTGTGGCATTCAGCGTGGCCAGCAGACAGGGCTGACCGGTCAGGTCCTTGACCACAAGATGGGGGAGGGGCGGGCTGTCGTCTGGAGCTGTCGTGATATTAAACAAAAGAACATTTTATACACTAAGGAACATAACCGTAAACAAAAGAACATTTTATACACTAAGGAACATAACCGTAAACAAAAGAACATTTTATACACTAAGGAACATAACCGTAAACTAAAGAACATTTTATACACTAAGGAACATAACCGTAAACTAAAGAACATTTTATACACTAAGGAACATAACCGTAAACAAAAGAACATTTTATACACTAAGGAACATAACCGTAAACTAAGTAACATATAAATAAACAAAAGAACATTTTATACACTAAGGAACATAACCGTAAACAAAAGAACATTTTATACACTAAGGAACATAACTGTAAACAAAAGAATATTTTATACACTAAGGAACATAACCGTAAACTAAGTAACATATAAATAAACAAAAGAACATTTTATACACTAAGGAACATAACCGTAAACAAAAGAACATTTTATACACTAAGGAACATAACCGTAAACTAAAGAACATTTCATACACTAAGGAACATAACCGTAAACTAAAGAACATTTTATACACTAAGGAACATAACCGTAAACTAAAGAACATTTTATACACTAAGGACCATAACCGTAAACTAAAGAACATTTTATACACTAAGGACCATAACCGTAAACTAAAGAACATTTTATACACTAAGGACCATAACCATAAACTAAAGAACATTTTATACACTAAGGAACATAACCGTAAACTAAAGAACATTTTATACACTAAGGAACATAACCGTAAACTAAAGAACATTTTATACACTAAGGAACATAACCGTAAACTAAAGAATATTTTATACACTAAGGAACATAACCGTAAACTAAAGAACATTTTATACACTAAGGAACATAACCGTAAACAAAAGAACATTTTATACACTAAGGAACATAACCGTAAACTAAAGAACATTTTATACACTAAGGAACATAACCGTAAACTAAAGAACATTTTATACACTAAGGAACATAACCGTAAACTAAAGAACATTTTATACACTAAGGAACATAACCGTAAACTAAAGAACATTTTATACACTAAGGAACATAACCGTAAACTAAAGAACATTTTATACACTAAGGAACATAACCGTAAACTAAAGAACATTTTATACACTAAGGAACATAACCGTAAACTAAAGAACATTTTATACACTAAGGAACATAACCGTAAACTAAAGAACATTTTATACACTAAGGAACATAACCGTAAACTAAAGAACATTTTATACACTAAGGAACATAACCGTAAACTAAAGAACATTTTATACACTAAGGAACATAACCGTAAACTAAAGAACATTTTATACACTAAGGAACATAACTGTAAACTAAGTAACATATAAATAAACAAAAGAACATTTTATACACTAAGGGACATAACCGTAAACTAAAGAACATTTTATACACTAAGGAGCATAACCGTAAACTAAAGAACATTTTATACACTAAGGAGCATAACCGTAAACTAAAGAACATTTTATACACTAAGGAGCATAACCGTAAACTAAAGAACATTTTATACACTAAGGAACATAACCGTAAACAAAAGAACATTTTATACACTAAGGAACATAACCGTAAACTAAAGAACATTTTATACACTAAGGAGCATAACCGTAAACTAAAGAACATTTTATACACTAAGGAACATAACCGTAAACAAAAGAACATTTTATACACTAAGGAACATAACCGTAAACAAAAGAACATTTTATACACTAAGGAACATAACCGTAAACTAAAGAACATTTTATACACTAAGGAACATAACCATAAACAAAAGAACATTTTATACACTAAGGAACATAACCGTAAACTAAAGAACATTTTATACACTAAGGAACATAACCGTAAACTAAAGAACATTTTATACACTAAGGAACATAACCGTAAACTAAAGAACATTTTATACACTAAGGAACATAACCGTAAACTAAGGAACATTTTATACACTAAGGAGCATAACCGTAAACTAAGGAACATTTTATACACTAAGGAGCATAACCGTAAACTAAAGAACATTTTATACACTAAGGAACATAACCGTAAACTAAAGAACATTTTATACACTAAGGAGCATAACCGTAAACTAAAGAACATTTTATACACTAAGGAGCATAACCGTAAACTAAAGAACATTTTATACACTAAGGAACATAACCGTAAACAAAAGAACATTTTATACACTAAGGAACATAACCGTAAACTAAGGAACATTTTATACACTAAGGAGCATAACCGTAAACTAAGGAACATTTTATACACTAAGGAGCATAACCGTAAACTAAGTAACATATAAATAAACAAAAGAACATTTTATACACTAAGGAACATAACCGTAAACTAAGTAACATATAAATAAACAAAAGAACATTTTATACACTAAGGAACATAACCGTAAACTAAGTAACATATAAATAAACAAAGGAACATCATTATTTAACAATTTATGGCAAAATGAGAATATATTTGGTACTAGCCTGGATCAATTTCTCCTGATCCGTCCTCAATCGTCTGCTCAAGTCCTAAGCCTTCTGTCGTCACTGCACATAGGAAGAAATAAGTTGACTCTTAATCGTGACCTTGACTTTGAACAACATGTTACCAAGGACTGTATAATATATAACCAGTGGCGTGTGTTGCTGATCATTATTTTTTGTCGTGTTCGTGTTTCTTGTTGCCATCCTGCCGCCACTGCCAATCGTGACAAACGTGTGACGTTCTTTGTTTGGTTGTGTTCAGACCATTGACACAGCACCCAAATACAGCAGCTGTGTTGTCACCTGTCGTGGATGTATTCACCCTCGGCTTGAGAATTTAGTCGACAGGCTGTGGACACGTCATTTGACAACCAATTCATTTCAAAGATAAGACTCTCACTCTGACTGTAGGTTCGAGATGACACGTCATTTGACACTGACAACCAATGCATTTCAAAGATAAGACTCTCACTCTGACTGTAGGTTCGAGATTACAACACTTTATTTCTTGGGGAATACTCACTGTTCCAAGAATAGCACGAAAGTCAAAAGATCTCCAGTCACAATTCCATACACTGTATCTCACGTTCTACTGACACTGTTCGCTGCATGCAATCATTCTCTGCGACGGTCAACTATTCTTCGTTAGACGCCAGCCCATCCTAGGCCAACATAGCGGATGTCTTCTATCCGTGTTCTTCATCTCTCGTCTCTTATTCTCTGCCCACAACCGTTCTCTACATCTTTCACTGGCCTTCTTCCCACAATCGTTCTCTCGGCCTCTCCGTGCACGTACCCAAAATTAGCGCGGCTTATATATATTACGGTCAAAGCCCGAAGTCGTCCAAAGCGCGCATTGGCCAATATCGCCTCCCATCGACCGGCCAAAGTCCGAAACTTTACTTCATTTCGGCCTTTGGCCGGCCAGTCCGCGGACTGGCCATGGTGGACCGACCAGTCCGAACTTGAAAGATCAACTGGCTAGGGACGACCTGTCAAAGTCCGAATTAGAAGATCATGAGCTGATTTTTTTTATACCGTAAGGATCATAGAAATTAAGTCTTTGTTGATTATTATTTAGAATTACATTGTTATTACTTTCTCGTATATAGGCCTACGTAGTATAGAGAAAGTATTGTAATCGTGCAAAAAAAAAATCGAGATTTTTACAAATCTCGACGTTTTACACCTCACTGATACGGAAAAACATAATTTTGCAATCTTGTCCGTATGTCTGTGTGTGTGTGTGTCTGTCTGTCTGTGTGTCCGTGTGTAAACACGATAACTTGAGTACCGTTACTGCTAGGTTGATGAAATTTCATATATAAGTATTTTATCAAAATCGTAGATCCGTATCAACTTTTGAGCGATTTCCGATAACCGGAAGTGGTACTTTTTCTACTTTGAATTTTTCAAAAGCCTATAACTTGAGTACTATTTCAGATAGATAAATGAAATTTCACATGTAAGTAAAATATCTAATTCTCTACCTTCTGTTAAATTTTGAGTAATTTCCGTTGACCAGAAGTAGTAATTTACGCTACTTCCGATTTCTCAAAAAAAAACTAATGTAAATTTTAAAAGTACTAATAATATTGCGCACTATTATGCGCTTTTTTATTTCGCGTTCACTTGGTGTGCAATTAATTTGTCTACGAGATTTTATTCTATTTTTAAAACTTTAAGTATTTAAAATGGATTAAAAATCATGTCTATAGCCCGAGTTCCCATCCCCTGTTATTTTATATAAAAATATTCGAGAAAGTTTAGGGGAGATCACTCCCGGTTTATTTTTTTTACACTTGCAGCGATTTGTGTGCACTTAGTTGTGCAATTGCAGCAAATGTAGCCTTGGCCGCCGGTCAGTGATTGTGAAGATGCGATGGTTCGTAGTGATTTTCCCTCAGTGCCAACGAGCGACAATGAGAGCAGTTTTTCGTGAAAAATTGAAAACTCACTTCTAGCATACCGTTGTTTTGGAATACCATGTTCCGTTCCTAGCTTGTCTTGTTCCTAGCGCTCTCGACGCTCATGACAACTGCAAAGACGCTACGTGGATCACCGCGACCTCTGTCAACATCTGGTATACGGATGCGACCAGTATCTCCCACTTCAGCTTGTTTAAATTTTGTTAGCATCTTGGCACCTTGAGTTTGCAAGCTAGCTTGAGCTGCTGACCATGGTTTCTTGTTTATTGTGACATATTCTGCGAGCAGAGGCGTAGCGACCCTTCCCGGCGCCCGGGGACAAACTTTTCGATTTGCACCCCTCTCGAGATTTCCATTTGCACCCTCCCTCAAACTTTCGATTTCCACCCCCTCAACCTTTCAATTTATTTTTCCAACCCATTTTGGCGCCCCCTAAGGTCGGCGCCCGGGGACATATGTCCCCCCCCCCGCCCCCCCCCCTCGCTACGCTACTGTCTGCGAGTATTGTTCCCTCCATATCCTTCGTCTGCTTCATTGGCGCGCATTGGCCGGCCAATGTACAAAATACGCTGTCAAGTTTAAGCGCTTCGGACTTTGGACAGTAAGTCCCGGCCAGTGCGCGCAATGGCCGGCCAATGTACGAAATACGCTCTTAGTGCTAAGTTATTCGGGCTTTGGCCAAGAGAGCCGGCCAATGCGGGCTTTGGCCGCACTTTGGGCTTTGACCGTAACATATACACACCCAGACATTCCGCGTCTCTCTTTCGTGCATACATCTGACAGTCAAAGTCTCACATCTTATGGACAGTCAAAGTCTCACATCTTATGGACAGTCAAAGTCTCACATCTTATGGACAGTCAAAGTCTCACATCTTATGGACAGTCAAAGTCTCACATCTTATTGACAGTCAAAGTCTCACATCATATTGACAGTCAAAGGCTCTATTAGCCATACACAATGATATAAAACTGTTCCCAATGATGCATTTTTAGACGCGTCATCTATTTTCTTTAACACCAATTGCTATGAACAGATGCATGCTGTATCAAGGCGTAAAGAACCGGACATTCAGTGTGCGGTAATCTCAGTGTGCGGTAATCTCCCTCCGAAAGGGTGAAGTAGAACACCCCACGCCGACAGCCCAGGTGTAAGGAGTTTATGGACAAAGGGAAATTACAAAAAGACATACTTTCATTTTTATAATCTTTTATTTAGTTCATTTGCGAGTTTGTGGCAAATCTTTAAGCTTTATTTTGATCAACTTCTAATGCATCGATTTCTTCTTCGGTGACAATGCATGTAGATCTATAGCTATTCTTAATCTAATTAGAGAGACGATTTAATTTTTGTAAATGCGTGGACAACGTTTTAATAACATGTACTTGAGTACTATTTCAGATAGATAAATTTCACATGTAAGTAAAAGATCTGATTCTCTACCTTCTGTCAAATTTTGAGTAATTTCCGTTGACCGGAAGTACTAATTTACGCTATTTCCGATTTCTCAAAAAACGCATGTAAATTAATAAAGTACTAATAATATTCCGCACTAATATGCCTATTTTGTTTTGGCGTTCGCTTGGTGCGCAATTCTTTTTTCTACGAGATTCTATTCTATTTTTAAAAGCTTAAGTAAACAAAAATCATGTCGATATTCCGAGTTGCCATCCCACGTAGTGTTATATAAGAATATTCGAGAAAGTTTAGGGGAGATCACTCCCGGTTTATTTTTGTCAGTACTACAATTTTAATACACTAGAGTTGAATGACTAAAATCAATTGCGCACCAAATATAAACACGAACAAATGTGCGTATAATAGCGCGGTAAATAGTACTATTTAGGTCTACAGAAAATATTAAGTAATTCTTTAATACTTATTAGGCATCCAAACAAATTAAATATGATGTCAGATTGCATTGTCTTCAAGTCTTGACCCACGTGCCAAGTTTCAGAATTGGGATGTTAGAAGTGGTCATAATTTTCCTTGCCAGTTTCCAAAATATTAGTAAAGGTATCCAATAGATAATATAGTGACCCATTTTTTTTATCTATCGGATACCTTTACTAATATTTATCAAGAGACCCACGCTTTTCTTTATAGTTATTAAAATAGTAGTGTACTATTACATATTTTAGAAAATGATTTTTTTTCTACTTTTTAGTGAATCCAAATATATAAAAGCCCATGTGCGCACTACTCTCTTTCTGCGTGTCCGCAAAATATTTTTACATGCTATGAGATCAGTATCTTCAGCGATATATGGAGAACTTGATACGGACTTTTGTTGAAAATAATATGGTAGATGTTTTAAATGTATAAACTAAATTTTGTTTAAAGAAGGAAAATAAAAATAAATGCATATTTGAATGTAGAAACACAATTTTAATTATGCAACCAGAAAAGTGTTTTTGGTTGTGACAAGAACGCAATAAACAATGACGTCAAATGCCACATGTTTAAACTATGGAAAGTACACAGACACTAATGACGTCATCTTCCAATTTTACAATATAAAGAAATGAACTATTTCATTCAAATATGATTTAGATTATAGATTTACTTATCGGGACGTACGCAATGAAATGTATACAATTTTTTTTCGGCCAAAAGTAATACAAATTACTTTAAAAAACAATAGAAATACCATTAAACAGCCGGGTTTATAAAGAAATCATTTAATTATGTTATTCAGTGTGTTCATTTAATATGGTGTTCTGTTGAATAATAATGTATATAATTTGGTTTTCCTAATAGGTATTTGTAGCCTACGTTATTTTAAATGTGTCGGATTTTTAACTGTTTAGCTGTTTCTTTGCTTTGTCACTAATATCGTTGAGAGTGTAGTACATAGCGTTTTGACCAATAACTCATTTATACAACATTTTTAAAAATAAGTTTAACATTAAAATATATTGATCTATAATTCACGTGTAATGGGTACTGACCGCTAGTTATTACATAAAAGCTTGTTATTAAAAGGTTTCTTACGATTTTTTTAAACACAAGCTTTTATGTTACTATCTTCCTCTGTTTATGTTTGCATTTATGTTTGTGTTTATGTTTGCGTTTATTTGCATTACTTTGAGTTATTGTTTTTGTGTAGGTTTGCGTTTGTGTTTCTATTTGTATTTGCTTTTTTGTTTGCTTTTGTGTTTGCTTTGTGTTTGGGGTTGGATTCTATTTTGGAACTAAGTTTAAACTGTATGAGTAGGCACAGGTTATGCTTTACCCTCAATATAAATATCATGTTTTCTTCTCAGTTCAAATGTCATGTTTTATTCTCGGCACAAATATCATGTTTTACCCGCAGTTCAAATGTCATGTCTGACTCGAGGGTTGCTCTAAAATGTTGGTCATTACACCAGAACAAAACAACTAACCTGTATGGAGCAGACAGCAGAGCAGTATCAAGATGGCCATCCTGTCTAATGGCACCCCTGGTCGCTTGGCCATCCTGTCAATTAAGACTCCTGATTCTTTTGAATCTCTGGCCATCCTGTCAACTCTGGCCATCCTTTCCAATTGGAACCCTCTGGCCATCTTTTCTTCTAATGTAGGCCAAACAGCGAGAGACAATTTCAAGATTCGGGCTAAGACGACGGGTGACAGCAGCAAGGGGAGGGGGAGGGGGAGATTATTGAACAACGCGTTTGGACGCTCGATAGGTCATTAGATATGCCAGATTTTTTTTTTACATCCAAGCAGGCTGGTGCCAATCAATCGTCAACTTCCGACTCTTCCGAATAACCCTTGGAGTTTGTATATATATATATATATATATATATATATATATATATATATATATATATATATATATATATATATATATATATATATATATATATATATATATATATATATATTTACATATACATAAATAGATATGTATACGTAGACAGACATACAGACAAAAACATATTAGAAACTCCTACCTACACGTCACTTATTGAAATGTGTAGGCCCTACACATGTGGATATGGACAAGATTATATTTATATGTTTTATGTGTACACTCAAACTCAAATTTTCGATTTCATTAACAACAAGAAACAATGTGCATATCAGTCAAATCTCAAACCGCCAACTAAAAGATAACTTTACCATATCAGTCAAATCTAAAACCGCCAACTAAAAGATAACTTCACCAAATTAGTCAAATCTAAAACCGCCAACTAAAAGATAACTTCACCATATTAGTCAAATCTAAAAAAACGATAATTAAAAGATAACTTCACCAAATTAGTCAAATCTTAAACTGCCAACTAAAAGATAACTTTACCATATCAGTCAAATCTCAAACCGCTAACTAAAATATAACATCACAAAATTAGTCAAATCTTAAACCGCCAACTAAAAGATAACTTCACCATATTAGTCAAATCTAAAAAAACGATAATTAAAAGATAACTTCACCAAATTAGTCAAATCTTAAACCGCCAACTAAAAGATAACTTTACCATATCAGTCAAATCTAAAACCGCCAACTAAAAGATAACTTTACCATATTAGTCAAATCTAAAAAACCGCTAACTAAAAGAAAAGTTCACCAAATTAGTCAAAAATAAAAAAAAAAACCGATAATTAAAAGATAACTTCACCAAATTAGTCAAATCTAAAACCGCCAACTAAAAGATAACTTCACCAAATTAGTCAAATCTAAAAAAAACGAAAATTAAAAGATAACTTCACAAAATTAGTCAAATCTAAAACCGCCAACTAAAAGATAACTTCACCAAATTAGTCAAATCTAAAAAAAAAACGATAATTAAAAGATAACTTCACCAAATTAGTCAAATCTAAAAAAAACGATAATTAAAAGATAACTTCACCAAATTAGTCAAATCTAAAAAAAACGATAATTAAAAGATAACTTCACCATTACCTGTGTAAGTAAACCATCACTTGCCGCCTGTAAGAACAAAACAAACTGAACCACAGGGTTGGGTTCACACAACTAAACCACAGGGTTGGGTTCACACAACTGATCCCTACCAAGCGTCAGACGACACACCAGGTGTCGCCACCAGATGGCGCCTGGTCAGTCCCGTCACGTGAGCAGTATGTAGCACGTGCCGAGCATAATCCAGCAATATTTCACTGTGTGGGGGAGAGGGCTGTGTGTGTGTGGTGAGAGAATGGCATGTGTGTGTGTGGTGAGAGAATGGCATGTGTGTTTGTGGAGAGAATAGCATGTGTGTGTGGAGAGAATGGCATGTGTGTGTGTGTGGAGAGAGAATAGCATGTGTGTGTGTGTGGAGAGAATGGCATGTGTGTGTGGAGAGAGAAAGGCATGTGTGTGTGTGGAGAGAATGGCATGTGTGTGTGTGGAGAGAGAATGGCATGTGTGTGTGTGGAGAGAATAGCATGTGTGTGTGGGGGAGAGAATGGCATGTGTGTTTGTGGAGAGAATAGCATGTGTGTGTGGGGGAGAGGGCTGTGTGTGTGTGGTGAGAGAATGGCATGTGTGTGTGTGGTGAGAGAATGGCATGTGTGTTTGTGGAGAGAATAGCATGTGTGTGTGGAGAGAATGGCATGTGTGTGTGTGTGGAGAGAGAATAGCATGTGTGTGTGTGTGGAGAGAATGGCATGTGTGTGTGGAGAGAGAAAGGCATGTGTGTGTGTGGAGAGAATGGCATGTGTGTGTATGGAGAGAATGGCATGTGTGTGTGTGTGGAGAGAATGGCATGTGTGTGTGGAGAGAGAATAGCATGTGTGTGTGTGGAGAGAATGGCATGTGTGTGTGTGTGGAGAGAATAGCATGTGTGTTTGTGGAGAGAATAGCATGTGTGTGTGTGTGTGTGGAGAGAATAGCATGTGTGTGTGTGTGTTGGGGGGGGGGGAGATAATGGCATGTGTGTGTGTGTGTGGAGAGAATGGCATATGTGTGTGGAGAGAGAATAGCATGTGTGTGTGTGGAGAGAATGGCATGTGTGTGTGTGTGGAGAGAATAGCATGTGTGTGTGTGGGGGAGAGGGCTGTGTGTGTGTGGTGAGAGAATGGCATGTGTGTGTGTGGTGAGAGAATGGCATGTGTGTTTGTGGAGAGAATAGCATGTGTGTGTGTGTGTGTGGAGAGAATAGCATGTGTGTGTGTGTGTTGGGGGGGGGGGGAGATAATGGCATGTGTGTGTGTGTGTGGAGAGAATGGCATATGTGTGTGGAGAGAGAATAGCATGTGTGTGTGTGTGGAGAGAATGGCATGAGTGTGTGGAGAGAGAATGGCATGTGTGTGTGTGTGGAGAGAGAATGGCATGTGTGTGTATGTGGAGATAATGGCATGTGTGTGGAGAGAATGGCATGTGTGTGTGGAGAGAGAATGGCATGTGTGTGTGTGTGGAGAGAATGGCATGAGTGTGTGTGGAAAGAATTTCAAGTGTGTGTGTGTGTGGAGAGAATAGCATGTGTGTGTGTGGAGAGAATAGCATGTGTGTGTGTGTGGAGAGAATGGCATGTGTGTGTGTGTGGAGAGAGAATGGCATGTGTGTGTGGAGAGAATGGCATGTGTATGTGTGTGTGGAGAGAATGGCATGTGTATGTGTGTGTGGAGAGAATGGCATGTGTGTGTGGAGAGAATGGCATGTGTATGTGTGTGTGGAGAGAATGGCATGTGTATGTGTGTGTGGAGAGAATGGCATGTGTGTGTGTGTGGAGAGAGAGAATGTCAAGTGTGTGTGTGGAATGTCAAGTGTGTGTGTGGAATGTCAAGTGTGTGTGTATGGAGAGAATGGCATGTGTGTGTGTGTGTGGAGAGAGAGAATGTCAAGTGTGTGTGTGGAATGTCAAGTGTGTGTGTATGGAGAGAATGGCATGTGTGTGTGTGGAATGTCAAGTGTGTGTGTATGGAGAGAATGTCAAGTGTGTGTGTGGAATGTCAAGTGTGTGTGTATGGAGAGAATGGCATGTGTGTGTGTGTGTGGAGAGAGAGAATGTCAAGTGTGTGTGTGTGGAGAGAATGGTATGTGTGTGTGTGGAGAGAATAGCATGTGTGTGTGTGGAGAGAGAATGGCATGTGTGTGTGTTTGTGGTCAATTGGTGGCCAGGTGGTTTGTTTGGTCAAGTGGTGGCCGGGTGGTTTGGTCAAGTGGTGGCCAGGTGGTTTGGTCAAGTGGTGGCCAGGTGGTTTGGTCAAGTGGTGGCCAGGTGGTTTGTTTGGTCAAGTGGTGGCCAGGTGGTTTGTTTGGTCAAGTGGTGGCCAGGTGGTTTGTTTGGTCAAGTGTGTGTGTGGAATGTCAAGTGTGTGTGTATGGAGAGAATGGCATGTGTGTGTGTGTGGAATGTCAAGTGTGTGTGTATGGAGAGAATGTCAAGTGTGTGTGTGGAATGTCAAGTGTGTGTGTATGGAGAGAATGGCATGTGTGTGTGTGTGTGGAGAGAGAATGTCAAGTGTGTGTGTGTGGAGAGAATGGTATGTGTGTGTGTGGAGAGAATAGCATGTGTGTGTGTTTGTGGTCAATTGGTGGCCAGGTAGTTTGTTTGGTCAAGTGGTGGCCAGGTGGTTTGGTCAAGTGGGGACCAGGTGGTTTGTTTGGTCAAGTGGTGGCCAGGTAGTTTGTTTGGTCAAGTGGTGGCCAGGTGGTTTGTTTGGTCAAGTGGTGGCCAGGTGGTTTGTTTGGTCAAGTGGTGGCCAGGTGGTTTGTTTGGTCAAGTGGTGGCCAGGTGGTTTGTTTGGTCAAGTGGTGGCCAGGTGGTTTGTTTGGTCAAGTGGTGGCCAGGTGGTTTGTTTGGTCAATTGGTGGCCAGGTAGTTTGTTTGGTCAAGTGGTGGCCAGGTGGTTTGTTTGGTCAAGTGGGGACCAGTTGGTTTGTTTGGTCAAGTGGTGGCCAGGTGGTTTGTTTGGTCAATTGGTGGCCAGGTAGTTTGTTTGGTCAAGTGGTGGCCAGGTGGTTTGTTTGGTCAAGTGGTGGCCAGGTGGTTTGTTTGGTCAAGTGGTGGCCAGGTGGTTTGTTTGGTCAAGTGGTGGCCAGGTGGTTTGTTTGGTCAATTGGTGGCCAGGTAGTTTGTTTGGTCAAGTGGTGGCCAGGTGGTTTGTTTGGTCAAGTGGTGGCCAGGTGGTTTGTTTGGTCAAATGGTGGCCAGGTGGTTTGTTTGGTCAATTGGTGGCCAGGTAGTTTGTTTGGTCAAGTGGTGGCCAGGTGGTTTGTTTGGTCAAGTGGTGGCCAGGTGGTTTGTTTGGTCAAGTGGTGGCCAGGTGGTTTGTTTGGTCAATTGGTGGCCAGGTAGTTTGTTTGGTCAAGTGGTGGCCAGGTGGTTTGTTTGGTCAAGTGGTGGCCAGGTGGTTTGTTTGGTCAAGTGGTGACCAGGTGGTTTGTTTGGTCAAATGGTGGCCAGGTGGTTTGTTTGGTCAAGTGGTGGCCAGGTGGTTTGTTTGGTCAAGTGGTGGCCAGGTGGTTTGTTTGGTCAAGTGGTGGCCAGGTGGTTTGTTTGGTCAATTGGTGGCCAGGTAGTTTGTTTGGTCAAGTGGTGGCCAGGTGGTTTGTTTGGTCAAGTGGTGGCCAGGTGGTTTGTTTCGTCAATTTGAAAATCAACTGTGTATACAAACTTTGCCATGACTTACTACAGTCAGATGTTGTAGCCTACAATTTGTCTGGGTGGATGTGATGGAATTAAAGCCGCCTGACTGGTATAAAGTATAATGCAATTATTGTTTAACTAATACAATCCTATATGGCTATTATACCTCCAAGAAAAATACAAACACACAAGGCAGATGTCAAAAATGTTTTATTGATGACAAAAAATTTGACAAAAATTGAATGAAGAAAATACATTGAAGGCCATGTGATCAATAATGTAAGAAAACAAAGTTGATAAGAAAAAAAAAGATTTGTAAGGGACAAAATCTACTAGGGAATAAATGAGGGACAAAGTCTTCCTCAACAACTGTTGAACTCTGACCTCCACCAGAGCCCCTCATCCCCAGCTTGTACATGTAAACTAGACAATATATATTCAAATGGTCAGACAACTTGCCACTGTAGCACTGTCAGACAACTTGCCATTGTAGCACTGTCAGACAACTTGCCATTGGTGCACTGTCAGACAACTTGCCACTGTAGCACTGTCAGACAACTTGCCACTGTAGCACTGTCAGACAACTTGCCACTGTAGCACTGTCAGACAACTTGCCATTGTAGCACTGTCAGACAACTTGCCACTGTAGCACTGTCAGACAACTTGCCATTGGTGCACTGTCAGACAACTTGCCATTGTAGCACTGTCAGACAACTTGCCACTGTAGCACTGCCGTGTCTTTCCCTCCGGTTGATATCAGCCTGGAGTCATCAAACAGGAACCTGACAGAGGTCACATGACTACTGTGACCTTTGTAGGAGTGGCAAGCACTCTGGGGGAAAAAAGATGGCCATTGCAGGAGTTAGTGCAACAAACGTCTTATGTGCAGACTAACCAGTGCCTCTCTATGCTAGCCTTACTTAAGTCAAATGAACCATCTAACCAGTGCCTCTCTATGCTAGCCTTACTTAAGTCAAATGAACCATCTAACCAGTGCCTCTCTATGCTAGCCTTACTTAAGTCAAATGAACCATCTAACCAGTGCCTCTCTATGCTAGCCTTACTTAAGTCAAATGAACCATCTAACCAGTGCCTCTCTATGCTAGCCTTACTTAAGTCAAATGAACCATCTAACCAGTGCCTCTCTAAACTAACCTTAGGTAGATTTGCAGGGTAGGAAAAAAGGTTGACTTTTCCAAAATCATCACAGGTAGCCAGCAATCTTTCATTGTTGGACTTACAGCAGCCATTAATGTCTGTACCATCAGCCCCCTCTGGCCAGATACCTGAACACAAACACAACATTCTCAGGGCCAACTGGCAACATTCTCAGGGCCAACACAACATTCTCAGGGCCAACACAACATTCTCAGGGCCAACTGGCAACAAAACATTCTCAGGGCCAACACAACATTCTCAGGGCCAACACAACATTCTCAGGGCCAACACAACATTCTCAGGGCCAACTGGCAACAAAACATTCTCAGGGCCAACTGACAACATTCTCAGGGCCAACACAACATTCTCAGGGCCATTGGCAACACAACATTCTCAGGGCCAACTGGCAACATTCTCAGGGCCAACTGGCAACAAAACATTCTCATGGCCAACTGACAACATTCTCAGGGCCAACACAACATTCTCAGGGCCATTGGCAACACAACATTCTCAGGGCCAACTGGCAACATTCTCAGGGCCAACACAACATTCTCAGGGCCATTGGCAACACAACATTCTCAGGGCCAACTGGCAACACAACATTCTCAGGGCCAACTGACAACATTCTCAGGGCCAACACAACATTCTCAGGGCCATTGGCAACACAACATTCTCAGGGCCAACTGGCAACACAACATTCTCAGGGCCAACTGGCAACATTCTCAGGGCCAACACAACATTCTCAGGGCCAACTGGTAACTAATGAAATAACACCACCCCACACTGAACTAACACCACCCCACACTGAACTAACACCACCCCACACTGAACTTACACCACCCCCACACTGTACTAACACCCCCCACCCCCCCACACTGAACTAACACCACCCCCACTGAACTAACACCACCCCACACTGAACTAACACCACCCCACACTGAACTAACACCACCCCACACTGTACTAACACCCCCCCCCCCCCACACTGAACTAACACCACCCCCACACTGAACTAACACCACCCCCACACTGAACTAACACCCCCCACAATGAACTAACACCCCCCCACACTGTACTAACACCACCCCCCACACTGAACTAACACCACCCCACACTGAACTTACACCACCCCTACACTGAAATAACACCACCCCACACTGAACTAACACCACCCCACACTGAACTCACCCCCCCACTGAACTAACACCACCCCACACTGAACTAACACCACCCCCCACACTGAACTAACACCACCCCCACACTGTACTAACACCACCCCCCACACTGAACTAACACCACCCCACACCGAACTAACACCACCCCCACACTGAACTAACACCACCCCACACCGAACTAACACCACCCCCACACTGAACTTACACCACCCCTACACTGAAATAACACCACCCCACACTGAACTAACACCACCCCACACTGAACTCACCCCCCCACTGAACTAACACCACCCCACACTGAACTAACACCACCCCCCACACTGAACTAACACCACCCCCACACTGTACTAACACCACCCCCCACACTGAACTAACACCACCCCACACCGAACTAACACCACCCCCACACTGAACTATCACAATCCCACACTGAACTAACACCCCCCCCCCCACACTAAACTAACACCACCCCCACACTGAACTAACACCACCCCCACACTGAACTAACACCACCCCACACCGAACTAACACCACCCCCACACTGAACTAACACCACCCCACACCGAACTAACACCACCCCCACACTGAACTAACACCACCCCACACCGAACTAACACCACCCCCACACTGTACTCACACCACCCCCACACTGAACTAACACCCCCCACACTGACATAACACCACCCCACACTGAACTAACACCACCCCCACACTGAACTAACACCACCCCACACTGAACTCACACCAACCCACAATGAACTAACACCACCCCACACTGAACTAACACCACCCCCACACTGAACTAACACCACCCCCACACTGTACTCACACCACCTCCACACTGAACTAACACCCCCCACACTGTACTAACACCACCCCCACACTGTACTCACACCACCCCCACACTGAACTAACACCACCCCCACACTGAACTAACACCACCCCCACACTGAACTAACACCACCCCCACACTGAACTAACACCACCCCACACTGAACTAACACCACCCCCACACTGTACTCACACCACCCCCACACTGAACTAACACCCCCCACACTGACATAACACCAGCCCACACTGAACTAACACCACCCCCACACTGAACTAACACCAGCCCACACTGAACTAACACCACCCCACACTGACATAACACCAGCCCACACTGAACTAACACCACCCCCACACTGAACTAACACCACCCCCCACACTGAACTAACAACACCCCACACTGAACTAACACCAGCCGACACTGAACTAACACCAGCCCACACTGAACTAACACCAGCCCACACTGAACTAACACCACCCCCACACTGAACTAACACCAGCCCACACTGAACTAACACCAGCCCACACTGAACTAACACCAGACCACATACCTGCAGTGTTGAAGGATAAGACACAGTTCTGTGTGGCCCACCTGAGGTCTCTGGTGATGGCTGAGTTGTTGACCATTTTACAACTACTGGCAAGCCCTGCTCAAATAAACAGGTGAGTGTAGGTTACAAACAGGTGAGTCTAGGTTACAAACAGAACAGGTGAGTGTAGGTTACAAACAGGTGAGTGTAGGTTACAAACAGGTGAGTCTAGGTTACAAACAGGTGAGTGTAGGTTACAAACAGGTGAGTGTAGGTTACAAACAGGTGAGTGTAGGTTACAAACAGGTGAGTGTAGGTTACAAACAGGTGAGTCTAGGTTACAAACAGGTGAGTGTAGGTTACAAACAGAACAGGTGAGTCTAGGTTACAAAGAGGTGAGTGTAGGTTACAAACAGGTGAGTGTAGGTTACAAACAGAACAGGTGAGTGTAGGTTACAAAGAGGTGAGTGTAGGTTACAAACAGGTGAGTGTAGGTTACAAACAGAACAGGTGAGTGTAGGTTACAAACAGGTGAGTCTAGGTTACAAACAGGTGAGTCTAGGTTACAAACAGAACAGGTGAGTCTAGGTTACAAAGAGGTGAGTGTAGGTTACAAACAGGTGAGTGTAGGTTACAAAGAGGTGAGTGTAGGTTACAAACAGGTGAGTCTAGGTTACAAAGAGGTGAGTGTAGGTTACAAACAGGTGAGTGTAGGTTACAAACAGGTGAGTGTAGGTTACAAACAGGTGAGTGTAGGTTACAAACAGGTGAGTGTAGGTTACAAACAGGTGAGTGTAGGTTACAAACAGGTGAGTCTAGGTTACAAACAGGTGAGTCTAGGTTACAAACAGAACAGGTGAGTGTAGGTTACAAACAGGTGAGTCTAGGTTACAAACAGGTGAGTCTAGGTTACAAACAGAACAGGTGAGTCTAGGTTACAAAGAGGTGAGTGTAGGTTACAAACAGGTGAGTGTAGGTTACAAACAGGTGAGTGTAGGTTACAAACAGAACAGGTGAGTCTAGGTTACAAAGAGGTGAGTGTAGGTTACAAACAGGTGAGTGTAGGTTACAAAGAGGTGAGTGTAGGTTACAAACAGGGGAGTGTAGGTTACAAACAGGTGAGTCTAGGTTACAAACAGGTGAGTGTAGGTTACAAACAGGTGAGTGTAGGTTACAAACAGGTGAGTGTAGGTTACAAACAGGTGAGTGTAGGTTACAAACAGGTGAGTGTAGGTTACAAACAGGTGAGTGTAGGTTACAAACAGGTGAGTCTAGGTTACAAAGAGGTGAGTGTAGGTTACAAACAGGTGAGTGTAGGTTACAAACAGTTGAGTGTAGGTTACAAACAGGTGAGTGTAGGTTACAAACAGGTGAGTGTAGGTTACAAACAGGTGAGTGTAGGTTACAAACAGGTGAGTGTAGGTTACAAAGAGGTGAGTGTAGGTTACAAACAGGTGAGTGTAGGTTACAAACAGGTGAGTGTAGGTTACAAACAGGTGAGTCTAGGTTACAAAGAGGTGAGTGTAGGTTACAAACAGGTGAGTGTAGGTTACAAACAGTTGAGTGTAGGTTACAAACAGGTGAGTGTAGGTTACAAACAGGTGAGTGTAGGTTACAAACAGGTGAGTGTAGGTTACAAACAGGTGAGTGTAGGTTACAAACAGGTGAGTCTAGGTTACAAAGAGGTGAGTGTAGGTTACAAACAGGTGAGTGTAGGTTACAAACAGTTGAGTGTAGGTTACAAACAGGTGAGTGTAGGTTACAAACAGTTGAGTGTAGGTTACAAACAGGTGAGTGTAGGTTACAAACAGGTGAGTGTAGGTTACAAACAGGTGAGTCTAGGTTACAAACAGGTGAGTCTAGGTTACAAACAGAACAGGTGAGTCTAGGTTACAAACAGGTGAGTCTAGGTTACAAACAGGTGAGTGTAGGTTACAAACAGGTGAGTGTAGGTTACAAACAGGTGAGTGTAGGTTACAAACAGGTGAGTGTAGGTTACAAACAGGTGAGTGTAGGTTACAAACAGGTGAGTGTAGGTTACAAACAGGTGAGTGTAGGTTACAAACAGGTGAGTGTAGGTTACAAACAGGTGAGTGTAGGTTACAAACAGGTGAGTCTAGGTTACAAACAGAACAGGTGAGTCTAGGTTACAAACAGGTGAGTGTAGGTTACAAACAGAACAGGTGAGTCTAGGTTACAAACAGGTGAGTGTAGGTTACAAACAGGTGAGTCTAGGTTACAAAGAGGTGAGTGTAGGTTACAAACAGGTGAGTGTAGGTTACAAAGAGGTGAGTGTAGGTTACAAACAGGTGAGTGTAGGTTACAAACAGGTGAGTGTAGGTTACAAAGAGGTGAGTGTAGGTTACAAACAGGTGAGTGTAGGTTACAAAGAGGTGAGTGTAGGTTACAAACAGGTGAGTGTAGGTTACAAACAGGTGAGTGTAGGTTACAAACAGGTGAGTCTAGGTTACAAAGAGGTGAGTGTAGGTTACAAACAGGTGAGTGTAGGTTACAAACAGGTGAGTGTAGGTTACAAACAGGTGAGTGTAGGTTACAAACAGGTGAGTCTAGGTTACAAAGAGGTGAGTGTAGGTTACAAACAGGTGAGTGTAGGTTACAAAGAGGTGAGTGTAGGTTACAAAGAGGTGAGTGTAGGTTACAAACAGGGGAGTGTAGGTTACAAACAGGTGAGTGTAGGTTACAAACAGGTGAGTCTAGGTTACAAAGAGGTGAGTGTAGGTTACAAACAGGTGAGTGTAGGTTACAAACAGGTGAGTGTAGGTTACAAACAGGTGAGTGTAGGTTACAAACAGGTGAGTGTAGGTTACAAACAGGTGAGTGTAGGTTACAAACAGGTGAGTGTAGGTTACAAACAGGTGAGTGTAGGTTACAAACAGGTGAGTGTAGGTTACAAACAGGTGAGTGTAGGTTACAAACAGGTGAGTCTAGGTTACAAACAGAACAGGTGAGTCTAGGTTACAAACAGGTGAGTGTAGGTTACAAACAGAACAGGTGAGTCTAGGTTACAAACAGGTGAGTGTAGGTTACAAACAGGTGAGTGTAGGTTACAAACAGGTGAGTCTAGGTTACAAACAGGTGAGTCTAGGTTACAAACAGGTGAGTGTAGGTTACAAACAGGTGAATGTAGGTTACAAAGAGGTGAGTGTAGGTTACAAACAGGTGAATGTAGGTTACAAAGAGGTGAGTGTAGGTTACAAACAGGTGAGTGTAGGTTACAAACAGGTGAGTGTAGGTTACAAAGAGGTGAGTGTAGGTTACAAACAGGTGAGTGTAGGTTACAAACAGGTGAGTGTAGGTTACAAAGAGGTGAGTGTAGGTTACAAACAGGTGAGTGTAGGTTACAAAGAGGTGAGTGTAGGTTACAAACAGGTGAGTGTAGGTTACAAACAGGTGAGTGTAGGTTACAAACAGGTGAGTCTAGGTTACAAAGAGGTGAGTGTAGGTTACAAACAGGTGAGTGTAGGTTACAAACAGGTGAGTGTAGGTTACAAACAGGTGAGTGTAGGTTACAAACAGGTGAGTGTAGGTTACAAAGAGGTGAGTCTAGGTTACAAACAGGTGAGTGTAGGTTACAAAGAGGTGAGTGTAGGTTACAAAGAGGTGAGTGTAGGTTACCAACAGGTGAGTGTAGACTTACAGAAAAGAAGCTCGTAATCCCCTGAGTTACTCATTAGATGCTGGCTGTCTTGTGACCAGTCCAGGTGGGTGATGAAGCTGGAGTGACCCTAAAATGTCAAGGACCTCAAGTTTATATCACTATATATATCTCAGGACTAAGCAGGTACACCAAACCAACTCAAACAGTTTATATCACTATATATCTCAGGACTAAGCAGGTACACCAAATCAACTCAAACAGTTTATATCACTATATATCTCAGGACTAAGCAGGTACACCAAACCAACTCAAACAGTTTATATCACTATATATATCTCAGGACTAAGCAGGTACACCAAACCAACTCAAACAGTTTATATCACTATATATCTCAGGACTAAGCAGGTACACCAAACCAACTCAAACAGTTTATATCACTATATATATCTCAGGACTAAGCAGGTACGCCAAACCAACTCAAACAGTTTATATCACTATATATATCTCAGGACTAAGCAGGTACACCAAACCAACCTAAACAGTTTATATCACTATATATATCTCAGGACTAAGCAGGTACACCAAACCAACTCAAACAGTTTATATCACTATATATCTCAGGACTAAGCAGGTACACCAAACCAACTCAAACAGTTTATATCACTATATGTATCTCAGGACTAAGCAGGTACACCAAACCAACTCAAACAGTTTATATCACTATATATATCTCAGGACTAAGCAGGTACACCAAACCAACCTAAACAGTTTATATTACTATATATATCTCAGGACTAAGCAGGTACACCAAACCAACTCAAACAGTTTATATCACTATATATCTCAGGACTAAGCAGGTACACCAAACCAACTCAAACAGTTTATATCACTATATATCTCAGGACTAAGCAGGTACACCAAACCAACTCAAACAGTTTATATTACTATATATATCTCAGGACTAAGCAGGTACACCAAACCAACTCAAACAGTTTATATCACTATATATCTCAGGACTAAGCAGGTACACCAAATCAACTCAAACAGTTTATATCACTATATGTATCTCAGGACTAAGCAGGACACCAAACCAACTCAAACAGTTTATATTACTATATATCTCAGGACTAAGCAAACCAAAAAAAGAAATTTTACTCTATCCAATTCTGTGCCATTTTAATTGTTTTTGACAGCTCCCTGTTCAATGTATCTGGTCACAAATGAGTTTTTTGCCTGGCTTTTTACAAGCTTTTATTTAACTTGCTTTCTCGTCATGTCTTTTTTGTCTGTCTTCATAGATCAAAATAGATCAAAATTTTGAGCACTTCTAATCGACTGATTTCTCTGAAATTTGGCACGTGGGTCAAGACCCGGATGACAATGCGATCTGTTATCATATAATTTGACTTAATTGGATTACTAATTTTTTTTTTTTAACTAATTAAAATTTTCTGAAATTAGTAGGCTGTCATAATACTATTCTGCGCTATTAAAATGCATTATCATGTTCATTTGCTGCGTAAGTGTTTTTGGTCATGGAACTCTATAGGTTTAAAAAACTGGTTCCAAATTATTTCAAATTTTTGTTGCCAGAAAGCAGATTTTATAACATTTGTGTGATTAGTACAAAATCACTTCCGGTTTTATTAAGGCTAGAAATAGTCAAACAAATAATTGCTAGTAATATAACAGTAATTTAGCAAACACTAATTTTTAACTTGGATTAACAGAGTAAGGGTGTTGATGTGATAGGGGGATGTCATACTATTTAATATAAATACAATACTAGGCTGTACACCATAGATCACTAGTGTGTGTTTTATCATTGAACATTGACTTTTTTGGGTTGACTTCAAGGAGAGGTTGAGGGCAGTTTTTGAAAAGATTTCAATTGATATAAATAATTCTAAATGGCTTTTCAACGGCTTTATTTCAATACAAAAATTTAAAATGAGTGTAATTGATAATTTTATTGCTGGACATATTTTTAAAAAGATTTTTTTTTAAATTGAGTATGATTACATAGACTTTTCAAGGCTATTGTACTAAAAAAAATTTTAAGTACTGAAAAAAATGCACAAAAAATGTTTTAATAACAAGTTTTTATGTAAGAATGCACTTAAAAGGAGAAAAGTAAATGCCATTAGGACTTACAGAGCATCTGCCAAGCTTGGAGTACTTTTTCCCATCCTCAGACACAGCATAGATGTAAATATAGTTGTCACGTGATCCAATTGCCAAGAGAGAGCCATCTACGGGGAAGAAAACAATTTACATGCTGGCTCATCTGGGGACTACTGGCTCACCTGGGGACTACTGGCTCACCTGGGGACTACTGGCTCACCTGGGGACTACTGGCTCATCTGGGGACTACTGGCTCACCTGGGGACTACTGGCTCACCTGGGGACTACTGGCTCACCTGGGGACTACTGGCTCACCTGGGGACTACTGGCTCACCTGGGGACTACTGGCTCACCTGGGGACTACTGGCTCATCTGGGGACTACTGGCTCATCTGGGGACTACTGGCTCACCTGGGGACTACTGGCTCACCTGGGGACTACTGGCTCACCTGGGGACTACTGGCTCACCTGGGGACTACTGGCTCATCTGGGGACTACTGGCTCATCTGGGGACTACTGGCTCACCTGGGGACTACTGGCTCATCTGGGGACTACTGGCTCACCTGGGGACTACTGGCTCACCTGGGGACTACTGGCTCATCTGGGGACTACTGGCTCACCTGGGGACTACTGGCTCATCTGGGGACTACTGGCTCACCTGGGGACTACTGGCTCACCTGGGGACTACTGGCTCATCTGGGGACTACTGGCTCACCTGGGGACTACTGGCTCACCTGGGGACTACTGGCTCATCTGGGGACTACTGGCTCACCTGGGGACTACTGGCTCACCTGGGGACTACTGGCTCATCTGGGGACTACTGGCTCACCTGGGGACTACTGGCTCATCTGGGGACTACTGGGACTACTGGCTCACCTGGGGACTACTGGGACTACTGGCTCACCTGGGGACTACTGGCTCACCTGGGGACTACTGGCTCATCTGGGGACTACTGGCTCACCTGGGGACTACTGGCTCACCTGGGGACTACTGGGACTACTGGCTCACCTGGGGACTACTGGCTCACCTGGGGACTACTGGCTCACCTGGGGACTACTGGGACTACTGGCTCACCTGGGGACTACTGGCTCACCTGGGGACTACTGGCTCACCTGGGGACTACTGGGACTACTGGCTCACCTGGGGACTACTGGCTCACCTGGGGACTACTGGCTCATCTGGGGACTACTGGCTCACCTGGGGACTACTGGCTCATCTGGGGACTACTGGCTCACCTGGGGACTACTGGCTCACCTGGGGACTACTGGCTCATCTGGGGACTACTGGCTCATCTGGGGACTACTGGGACTACTGGGACTACTGGCTCACCTGGGGACTACTGGCTCACCTGGGGACTACTGGCTCATCTGGGGACTACTGGCTCACCTGGGGACTACTGGCTCACCTGGGGACTACTGGCTCATCTGGGGACTACTGGCTCACCTGGGGACTACTGGGACTACTGGGACTACTGGCTCATCTGGGGACTACTGGCTCATCTGGGGACTACTGGCTCACCTGGGGACTACTGGCTCATCTGGGGACTACTGGCTCACCTGGGGACTACTGGCTCACCTGGGGACTACTGGCTCACCTGGGGACTACTGGCTCATCTGGGGACTACTGGCTCACCTGGGGACTACTGGCTCACCTGGGGACTACTGGCTCACCTGGGGACTACTGGCTCACCTGGGGACTACTGGCTCACCTGGGGACTACTGGCTCATCTGGGGACTACTGGCTCACCTGGGGACTACTGGCTCACCTGGGGACTACTGGCTCACCTGGGGACTACTGGCTCACCTGGGGACTACTGGCTCACCTGGGGACTACTGGCTCACCTGGGGACTACTGGCTCACCTGGGGACTACTGGGACTAGTGGCTCACCTGGGGACTACTGGCTCACCTGGGGACTACTGGCTCACCTGGGGACTACTGGCTCACCTGGGGACTACTGGCTCACCTGGGGACTACTGGCTCACCTGGGGACTACTGGCTCACCTGGGGACTACTGGCTCACCTGGGGACTACTGGCTCACCTGGGGACTACTGGCTCACCTGGGGACTACTGGCTCACCTGGGGACTACTGGCTCACCTGGGGACTACTGGCTCACCTGGGGACTACTGGCTCATCTGGGGACTACTGGCTCACCTGGGGACTACTGGCTCACCTGGGGACTACTGGCTCACCTGGGGACTACTGGCTCACCTGGGGACTACTGGCTCACCTGGGGACTACTGGCTCACCTGGGGACTACTGGGACTAGTGGCTCACCTGGGGACTACTGGCTCACCTGGGGACTACTGGCTCACCTGGGGACTACTGGCTCACCTGGGGACTACTGGCTCACCTGGGGACTACTGGCTCACCTGGGGACTACTGGCTCACCTGGGGACTACTGGCTCACCTGGGGACTACTGGCTCACCTGGGGACTACTGGCTCACCTGGGGACTACTGGCTCACCTGGGGACTACTGGCTCACCTGGGGACTACTGGGACTACTGGCTCACCTGGGGACTACTGGCTCACCTGGGGACTAATGGCTCACCTGGGGACTACTGGCTCACCTGGGGACTACTGGGACTACTGGCTCACCTGGGGACTACTGGCTCACCTGGGGACTAATGGCTCACCTGGGGACTACTGGCTCACCTGGGGACTACTGGGGACTACTGGCTCACCTGGGGACTACTGGCTCACCTGGGGACTACTGGCTCACCTGGGGACTTCTGGCTCATCTGGGGACTACTGGCTCACCTGGGGACTACTGGCTCACCTGGGGACTTCTGGCTCACCTGGGGACTACTGGCTCACCTGGGGACTACTGGGACTACTGGGGACTACTGGCTCACCTGGGGACTACTGGCTCACCTGGGGACTACTGGCTCACCTGGGGACTACTGGCTCACCTGGGGACTACTGGCTCACCTGGGGACTACTGGCTCACCTGGGGACTACTGGGACTACTGGCTCACCTGGGGACTACTGGCTCACCTGGGGACTACTGGCTCACCTGGGGACTACTGGGACTACTAGCTCACCTGGGGACTACTGACTCACCTGGGGACTACTGGCTCACCTGGGGACTTCTGGCTCACCTGGGGACTACTGGCTCACCTGGGGACTACCGGCTCACCTGGGGACTACTGGGACTACTGGCTCACCTGGGGACTACTGGCTCACCTGGGGACTACTGGCTCACCTGGGGACTACTGGCTCACCTGGGGACTACTGGCTCACCTGGGGACTACCGGCTCACCTGGGGACTACTGGGACTACTGGCTCACCTGGGGACTACTGGCTCACCTGGGGACTACTGGCTCACCTGGGGACTACTGTCTCACCTGGGGACTACTGGCTCACCTGGGGACTACTGGCTCACCTAGGGACTACTGGCTCACCTGGGGACTACTGGCTCACCTGGAGTGTACTAATTGCGCTTACCTGGGGACTACTGGCTCACCTGGGGACTACTGGCTCACCTGGAGTGTACTAATTGCACTTACCTGGGGAGTACTGGATGCACTCAATTTGCTCATTGCCATCTGTGTGCACAGAAACAATCTCATGTGTGGCCAGGTCTAAAACCAGCCAGCGCGCCACATTGGTCCCCACCGCTACAATCCCCCCTTTGGGATGGAAACAGCAGCTGTGGATTGGGTCCTGAGGAGGGAGAAGAAAGTCATTCACACAGCCGTCTGTATCATTCACACAGCCGTCTGTATCATTCACACAGCCATCTGTATCATTCACACAGCCGTCTGTATCATTCACACAGCTGTCTGTATCATTCACACAACCGTCTGTATCATTCACACAACCGTCTGTATCATTCACACAACCGTCTGTATCATTCACACAGCCGTCTGTATCATTCACACAACCGTCTGTATCATTCACACAGCCGTCTGTATCATTCACACAGCCGTCTGTATCATTCACACAACCGTCTGTATCATTCACACAGCCGTCTGTATCATTCACACAACCGTCTGTATCATTCACACAGGTAAAGAAATACTCATTGACAAAACTCATTGAGAATACACAAAGGTGTATGGTGATGTGTGTGTAGATGAGTGTGTGGTGTGGAAATGGGTGTGTGTTGATGGGTGTGTGGTGATAAGTGTGTGGTGATGGGTGTGTGGTGATGGGTGTGTGGTGTGAAGATGAGTGTGTGGTGTGGAAATGGGTGTGTGGTGTGGAAATGGGTGTGTGGTGATGGGTGTGTGGTGATGGGTGTGTGGTGATGGGTGTGTGGGGATGTGTGTGTGGTGATGGGTGTGTGGTGTGGGGATGGGTGTGTGATGATGGGTGTGTGGTGTGGTGATGGGTGTGTGGTGATGGGTGTGTGGTGATGGGTGTGTGGTGATGTGTGTGTGGTGATGGGTGTGTGGGGATGTGTGTGTGGTGATGGGTGTGTGGTGATGGGTGTGTGGTGTGGGGATGGGTGTGTGGTGATGGGTGTGTGGTGATGGGTGTGTGGTGTGGGGATGGGTGTGTGGTGATGGGTGTGTGGTGTGGGGATGGGTGTGTGGTGATGGGTGTGTGGTGATGGGTGTGTGGTGATGGGTGTGTGGTGATGTGTGTGTGGTGATGGGTGTGTGGTGTGGGGATGGGTGTGTGGGGATGGGTGTGTGGTGATGGGTGTGTGGTGATGGGTGTGTGGTGATGGGTGTGTGGTGATGGGTGTGTGGTGATGGGTGTGTGGTGATGGGTGTGTGGTGTGGGGATGGGTGTGTGGGGATGGGTGTGTGGTGTGGGGATGGGTGTGTGGTGATGGGTGTGTGGTGATGGGTGTGTGGTGATGGGTGTGTGGTGATGGGTGTGTGGTGTGGGGATGGGTGTGTGGGGATGGGTGTGTGGTGATGGGTGTGTGGTGATGGGTGTGTGGTGATGTGTGTGTGGTGATGGGTGTGTGGTGATGGGTGTGTGGTGATGGGTGTGTGGTAATGGGTGTGTGGTGATGGGTGTGTGGTGTGGGGATGGGTGTGTGGTGTGGGGATGGGTGTGTGGTGATGCGTGTGTGGTGATGGGTGTGTGATGATGTGTGTGTGGGGATGTGTGTGGTGATGGGTGTGTTGATGACTGTGATGGGTGTGTGGTGATGGGTGTGTGGTGATGTGTGTGTGGTGTGGTGATGTGTGTGTGGTGATGGGTGTGTGGGGATGTGTGTGTGGTGATGGGTGTGTGGTGATGGGTGTGTGGTGTGGGGATGTGTGTGTGGTGATGGGTGTGTGGTGTGGTGATGTGTGTGTGGTGATGTGTGTGTGGTGATGGGTGTGTGGGGATGTGTGTGTGGTGATGGGTGTGTGGTGATGTGTGTGTGGTGATGGGTGTGTGGTGATGTGTGTGTGGTGATGGGTGTGTGGTGATGGGTGTGTGGTGATGGGTGTGTGGTGTGGTGATGGGTGTGTGGTGTGGTGATGGGTGTGGGGATGTGTGTGTGGGGATGTGTGTGTGTGTGGGGATGTGCTTGTGGGGATGTGTGTGTGGGGATGTGTGTGTGGGGATGTGTGTGTGTGTGTGTGGTGATGTGTGTGTGGTGATGTGTGTGTGGGGATGTGTGTGTGTGTGGGGATGTGTGTGATGTGTGATGTCTTACATTCATCTCTTTGCTCCAGACTACGGCCCTGGACTGTGAGTCCCACAGGTAAAGCTGCTTGTCAGTCCCACAGGTGAGAAATTGGTGCTGGGATGGGTGGCTTGACAAGCCCCATAGTTCATCTGTGTGGCCCTGGGATAAATACAAACTTATATCATCCGTGTGGCCCTGGGATAAATACAAACTTATATCATCCGTGTGGCCCTGGGATAAATACAAACTTATACATGTGGCCCCGGGATAAATACAAACTTATACATGTGGCCCTGGGATAAATACAAACTTATATTATCTGTGTGGCCCTGGGATAAATACAAACTTATACATGTGGCCCTGGGATAAATACAAACTTATACATGTGGCCCTGGGACAAACACAAACTTATACGTGTGGCCCTGGGACAAATACAAACTTATACATGTGGCCCTGGGATAAATACAAACTTATATCATCCGTGTGGCCCTGGGATAAATACAAACTTATATCATCCGTGTGGCCCTGGGATAAATACAAACTTATACATGTGGCCCCGGGATAAATACAAACTTATACATGTGGCCCTGGGATAAATACAAACTTATATTATCTGTGTGGCCCTGGGATAAATACAAACTTATACATGTGGCCCTGGGATAAATACAAACTTATACATGTGGCCCTGGGACAAACACAAACTTATACGTGTGGCCCTGGGACAAATACAAACTTATACATGTGGCCCTGGGATAAATACAAACTTATATCATCCGTGTGGCCCTGGGATAAATACAAACTTATACATGTGGCCCTGGGATAAATACAAACTTATACATGTGGCCCTGGGATAAATACAAACTTATACATGTGGCCCTGGGACAAATACAAACTTATACATGTGGCCCTGGGATAAATACAAACTTATATCATCTGTGTGGCCCTGGGATAAATACAAACTTATACATGTGGCCCTGGGATAAATACAAACTTATATCATCCGTGTGGCTCTGGGATAAATACAAACTTATACATGTGGCCCTGGGATAAATACAAACTTATATCATCCGTGTGGCCCTGGGATAAATACAAACTTATACATGTGGCCCTGGGATAAATACAAACTTATATTATCTGTGTGGCCCTGGGATAAATACAAACTTATATCATCCGTGTGGCCCTGGGATAAATACAAACTTATATCATCCGTGTGGCTCTGGGATAAATACAAACTTATATCATCCGTGTGGCCCTGGGATAAATACAAACTTATATTATCTGTGTGGCCCTGGGATAAATACAAACTTATATCATCCGTGTGGCCCTGGGATAAATACAAACTTATATCATCTGTGTGGCCCTGGGATAAATACAAACTTATATGATCCGTGTGGCCCTGGGATAAATACAAACTTATATCATCCGTGTGGCCCTGGGATAAATACAAACTTATATCATCTGTGTGGCCCTGGGATAAATACAAACTTATACATGTGGCCCTGGGATAAATACAAACTTATATTATCTGTGTGGCCCTGGGATAAATACACACTTATATCATCCGTGTGGCCCTGGGATAAATACAAACTTATACATGTGGCCCTGGGATAAATACAAACTTATACATGTGGCCCTGGGTTAAATACAAACTTATACATGTGGCCCTGGGATAAATACAAACTTATACATGTGGCCCTGGGATAAATACAAACTTATATTATCTGTGTGGCCCTGGGATAAATACAAACTTATACATGTGGCCCTGGGATAAATACAAACTTATACATGTGGCCCTGGGATAAATACAAACTTATACATGTGGCCCTGGGACAAATACAAACTTATATTATCGATGTGGCCCTGGGATAAATACAAACTTATACATGTGGCCCTGGGACAAACACAAACTTATACGTGTGGCCCTGGGATAAATACAAACTTATACATGTGGCCCTGGGACAAATACAAACTTATATTATCGATGTGGCCCTGGGATAAATACAAACTTATACATGTGGCCCTGGGATAAACACAAACTTATACGTGTGGCCCTGGGACAAATACAAACTTATATTATCGATGTGGCCCTGGGATAAATACAAACTTATACATGTGGCCCTGGGACAAACACAAACTTATACGTGTGGCCCTGGGACAAATACAAACTTATACATGTGGCCCTGGGATAAATACAAACTTATACATGTGGCCCTGGGATAAACACAAACTTATACATGTGGCCCTGGGACAAACACAAACTTATACATGTGGCCCTGGGATAAATACAAACTTATACATGTGGCCCTGGGACAAACACAAACTTATACGTGTGGCCCTGGGACAAATACAAACTTATACATGTGGCCCTGGGATAAATACAAACTTATACATGTGGCCCTGGGATAAACACAAACTTATACATGTGGCCCTGGGACAAACACAAACTTATACATGTGGCCCTGGGATAAATACAAACTTATACATGTGGCCCTGGGATAAATACAAACTTATATCATCCGTGTGGCCCTGGGATAAATACAAACTTATACATGTGGCCCTGGGACAAACACAAACTTATACATGTGGCCCTGGGATAAATACAAACTTATACATGTGGCCCTGGGATAAATACAAACTTATATCATCCGTGTGGCCCTGGGATAAATACAAACTTATATTATCTGTGTGGCCCTGGGCTGCCCCTACCTGTACAACAAGTGTAAAGTCCAGCTCTAATGTGCCCTGTAGCACACAGTTCCTTGTGGTCCCCACTAGGATCAGACCTCCCTTGCCCTGGCTGATGGTGCGCACTGGGCCAAAACTTTCTGACAGCTGTGGATGGGGAACATTTCATGAGGGTGGGGAACATTTCATGAGGGTGGGGAACATTTCATGAGGTGGGGAACATTTCATGAGGGTGGGGAACATTTCATGAGGTGGGGAACATTTCATGAGGTGGGGAACATTTCATGAGGGTGGGGAACATTTCATGAGGGTGGGGAACATTTCATGAGGGTGGGGAACATTTTATGAGGGTGGGGAACATTTTATGAGGGTGGGGAACATTTCATTTCATGAGGGTGGTGTTGAAGAAAATTTTGAATGAACATCAATTTGATAATTGCAGTAGGTAAGAATAGGTCTGGTAAATAGCTCACCAACCAGTTCTACCGCTCAATAAAACCTGCATGAGCCATAGAACTGTTTGATGACCTGCTTACCAGCCCTATAAATAGTTTTGGTCAGACCTCAGTTTCTTGGCCAGACTTCTTGTACGTGCTGCTGTCCCACTGGATGATTTTCCTGTCCTTTCCCCCACCTGACAGCAGAGTCCCATCCTTCATCACACACAGAGAAAACACACCTCCTTCATGTGCAGATGGTATTGCTACAGAGATCCTCTGACTACCTGCAACAGGTAACTGAGGGTTTATGTTCTGCCACCAAGATCCTCTAGCTACCTACAACTTAACACACCCTACTGTGCTATACAATGCTTCTGTAGCTGATGTACGACTTTTGGTGAGACATTATTTGTGATCAGAAGAAAGTTCTGTAGCTGATGTACGACTTTTGGTGAGACATTATTTGTGATCAGAAGAAAGTTGGTGGCTGTCAGAGTCTCTTGCTAAAACTCAGGAAAAGTTTTGCTAAGACCATTTTACTTCACTAGCTCGTCTGTCCTATCCTAGGGTTGGGATCTTTACTAGCTCGTCTGTCCTAGGGTTGGGATCTTCACTAGCTTGTCTGTCCTAGGGTTGGGATCTTCACTAGCTTGTCTGTCCTAGGGTTGGGATCTTCACTAGCTTGTCTGTCCTAGGGTTGGGATCTTCACTAGCTTGTCTGTCCTAGGGTTGGGATCTTCACTAGCTTGTCTGTCCTAGGGTTGGGATCTTCACTAGCTTGTCTGTCCTAGGGTTGGGATCTTCACTAGCTTGTCTGTCCTAGGGTTGGGATCTTTACTAGCTCGTCTGTCCTAGGGTTGGGATCTTCACTAGCTTGTCTGTCCTAGGGTTGGGATCTTCACTAGCTTGTCTGTCCTAGGGTTGGGATCTTTACTAGCTTGTCTGTCCTAGGGTTGGGATCTTCACTAGCTTGTCTGTCCTAGGGTTGGGATCTTCACTAGCTTGTCTGTCCTATCCTAGGGTTGGGATCTTCACTAGCTTGTCTGTCCTAGGGTTGGGATCTTCACTAGCTTGTCTGTCCTAGGGTTGGGATCTTCACTAGCTTGTCTGTCCTATCCTAGGGTTGGGATCTTCACTAGCTTGTCTGTCCTAGGGTTGGGATCTTCACTAGCTTGTCTGTCCTATCCTAGGGTTGGGATCTTCACTAGCATTTCTGTCCTAGGGTTGGGATCTTCACTAGCTCGTCTGTCCTATCCTAGGGTTGGGATCTTCACTAGCTTGTCTGTCCTAGGGTTGGGATCTTCACTAGCTTGTCTGTCCTAGGGTTGGGATCTTCACTAGCTCGTCTGTCCTATCCTAGGGTTGGGATCTTCACTAGCTTGTCTGTCCTAGGGTTGGGATCTTCACTAGCTTGTCTGTCCTATCCTAGGGTTGGGATCTTCACTAGCTTGTCTGTCCTAGGGTTGGGATCTTCACTAGCTTGTCTGTCCTATCCTAGGGTTGGGATCTTCACTAGCTTGTCTGTCCTAGGGTTGGGATCTTCACTAGCTCGTCTGTCCTATCCTAGGGTTGGGATCTTCACTAGCTTGTCTGTCCTAGGGTTGGGATCTTCACTAGCTTGTCTGTCCTAGGGTTGGGATCTTCACTAGCTTGTCTGTCCTAGGGTTGGGATCTTCACTAGCTTGTCTGTCCTAGGGTTGGGATCTTCACTAGCTTGTCTGTCCTATCCTAGGGTTGGGATCTTTACTAGCTTGTCTGTCCTAGGGTTGGGATCTTTACTAGCTTGTCTGTCCTAGGGTTGGGATCTTCACTAGCTTGTCTGTCCTAGGGTTGGGATCTTTACTAGCTTGTCTGTCCTATCCTAGGGTTGGGATCTTTACTAGCTTGTCTGTCCTAGGGTTGGGATCTTTACTAGCTTGTCTGTCCTAGGGTTGGGATCTTCACTAGCTTGTCTGTCCTAGGGTTGGGATCTTTACTAGCTTGTCTGTCCTATCCTAGGGTTGGGATCTTTACTAGCTTGTCTGTCCTAGGGTTGGGATCTTCACTAGCTCGTCTGTCCTAGGGTTGGGATCTTTACTAGCTTGTCTGTCCTATCCTAGGGTTGGGATCTTTACTAGCTTGTCTGTCCTAGGGTTGGGATCTTTACTAGCTTGTCTGTCCTAGGGTTGGGATCTTCACTAGCTTGTCTGTCTTAGGGTTGGGATCTTCACTAGCTTGTCTGTCTTAGGGTTGGGATCTTCACTAGCTTGTCTGTCCTAGGGTTGGGATCTTCACTAGCTTGTCTGTCTTAGGGTTGGGATCTTCACTAGCTTGTCTGTCCTATCCTAGGGTTGGGATCTTTACTAGCTCGTCTGTCCTAGGGTTGGGATCTTCACTAGCTTGTCTGTCCTATCCTAGGGTTGGGATCTTCACTAGCTTGTCTGTCCTAGGGTTGGGATCTTCACTAGCTTGTCTGTCCTATCCTAGGGTTGGGATCTTTACTAGCTCGTCTGTCCTAGGGTTGGGATCTTCACTAGCTCGTCTGTCCTATCCTAGGGTTGGGATCTTCACTAGCTTGTCTGTCCTAGGGTTGGGATCTTTACTAGCTTGTCTGTCCTAGGGTTGGGATCTTTACTAGCTCGTCTGTCCTAGGGTTGGGATCTTCACTAGCTCGTCTGTCCTATCCTAGGGTTGGGATCTTCACTAGCTTGTCTGTCCTAGGGTTGGGATCTTTACTAGCTTGTCTGTCCTAGGGTTGGGATCTTTACTAGCTCGTCTGTCCTATCCTAGGGTTGGGGTGTTAGCTTAAATATCATTTTACTTCTAGAACTTTTGCAGCTCACCCCAAGATATAAAATTTTCTTCACAAACCTTTTCCCCACACAAAAATATTTCCACTTGAGTCGCCAGATAAAATATCACCATTGTCAGCAAAAGCCAAACATAAAACATATTTTGGCTTTTCAAATTTCTGTGAAATAATGTTAAAAAGTGGTTCAGTAATATAGAGATGAAAACTTTAAAAATACTTTTGTTATCAATATAATAGATAATCTACTTCAGTACCCTTCTTCTTGACTAGATAATCTAGTAGAGTGCCAGCTAATGACTTACTTCAAAAATGCCTTGCTTCTTAGCTAGAGATCCCCCTTCCAGGGACCAGAAGCTGATCTGTCCTTTACCACAGCAAACAATCTGGTTCTTCTCTGATGGGTGGTACTCCACGGCCAACACAGGGTCTCCAGAGCTCTGAAACAACATCAACATCATGAGCAGATGAGAGTTGAACCCTCTGGGAGAAACTCATGTGTATGAGCAGATGAGAGTTGAACCCTCTGGGAGAAACTCATGTGTATGAGCAGATGAGAGTTGAACCCTCTGGGAGAAACTCATGTGTATGAGCAGATGAGAGTTGAACCCTCTGGGAGAAACTCATGTGTATGAGCAGATGAGAGTTGAACCCTCTGGGAGAAACTCATGTGTATGAGCAGATGAGAGTTGAACCCTCTGGGAGAAACTCATGTGTATGAGCAGATGAGAGTTGAACCCTCTGGGAGAAACTCATGTGTATGAGCAGATGAGAGTTGAACCCTCTGGGAGAAACTCATGTGTATGAGCAGAAGAGAGTTGAACCCTCTGGGAGAAACTCACCTTGGTCTCTGCTACTTTGTGAGGTTTTTCTTTACTTAAATCCCAGATGGACATGATGTGCTCGTTAGCTTCATCAACGACAACCAGATGTTGGCCACCATCCTGAAACAGGGGTCAAAGTAGATTTTGTATGGGGTCAAAGTAGGTTTTGTATGGGGTCAAAGTAGGTTTTGTATGGGGTCAAAGTAGGTTTTATATGGGGTCAAAGTAGGTTTTGTATGGGGTCAAAGTAGGTTTTGTATGGGGTCAAAGTAGGTTTTGTATGGGGTCAAAGTAGGTTTTGTATGGGGTCAAAGTAGGTTTTATATGGGGTCAAAGTAGGTTTTGTATGGGGTCAAAGTAGGTTTTGTATGGGGTCAAAGTAGGTTTTGTATGGGGTCAAAGTAGGTTTTGTATGGGGTCAAAGTAGGTTTTGTATGGGGTCAAAGTAGGTTTTGTATGGGGTCAAAGTAGGTTTTGTATGGGGTCAAAGTAGGTTTTGTATGGGGTCAAAGTAGGTTTTGTATGGGGTCAAAGTAGGTTTTGTATGGGGTCAAAGTAGGTTTTGTATGGGGTCAAAGTAGGTTTTGTATGGGGTCAAAGTAGGTTTTGTATGGGGTCAAAGTAGGTTTTGTATGGGGTCAAAGTAGGTTTTGTATGGGGTCAAAGTAGGTTTTATTTGGAGTCAAACTATCTTTTCTATGGGATTAGGGCAAGTACTGACCAGCTTAGAGAAAGACAAGCAGCAGACTGCCCGGTTGAAGACTCCCTGACCAATAACATACAGCGTGTTTAGGCTGACTGAATCCCAGACTCTAACATGGGGCTAAGGAATAAATTCTTCAATTATAAGTCTCATTATGTTACACATACCAGTCTCATTATGTTACACATACACAAGTCTCATTATGTTACACATACACCAGTCTCATTATGTTACACATACCAGTCTCATTATGTTACACATACCAGTCTCATTATGTTACACATACCAGTCTCATTATGTTACACATACCAGTCTCAATATGTTACACATACAAGTCTCATTATGTTACACATACACCAGTCTCATTATGTTACACATACAAGTCTCATTATGTTACACATACAAGTCTCATTATGTTACACATACCAGTCTCAATATGTTACACATACACCAGTCTCAATATGTTACACATACAAGTCTCATTATGTTACACATACAAGTCTCATTATGTTACACATACAAGTCTCATTATGTTACACATACAAGTCTCATTATGTTACACATATAAGTCTCATTATGTTACACATACCAGTCTCAATATGTTACACATACACCAGTCTCAATATGTTACACATACAAGTCTCATTATGTTACACATACAAGTCTCATTATGTTACACATACAAGTCTCATTATGTTACACATACAAGTCTCATTATGTTACACATACCAGTCTCATTATGTCTGACATACACCAGTCTCAATATGTCTGACATACACCAGTCTCAATATGTCTTACTTACAACAGATTCATCTGAGAAGCCTGACCCAGATTTTTTCTTTCCTTGATGCTTGAAGCAATAAAAGAAAGCAGCTGATCAACTTAAGTTTTTCTACGCAAGCTAGCACAGCTAACAGGTGTAAAAACAAAGGTGGCACACACAGCCAACAGGTGTAAAACAAAGGTGGCACAGCTAACAGGTGTAAAACAAAGGTGGCACAGCTAACAGGTGTAAAACAAAGGTGGCACAGCCAACAGGTGTAAAACTAAGGTGGCACAGCCAACAGGTGTAAAAACAAAGGTGGCACAGCTAACAGGTGTAAAAACAAAGGTGGCACAGCTAACAGGTGTAAAACAAAGGTGGCACAGCTAACAGGTGTAAAACAAAGGTGGCACAGCTAACAGGTGTAAAACAAAGGTGGCACAGCTAACAGGTGTAAAATAAAGGTGGCACAGCTAACAGGTGTAAAATAAAGGTAAATCACCTTGGTATCCCTAGCTTCATGCCCTGCCACTTGACCAGTGGCTACCTTGATTTTGTCCGGATGAATAGCAATACTGTTGATAAATGAATAGCTATACTGTTGATAAATGAATAGCAATACTGTTGATAAATGAATAGCAATACTGTTGATAAATGAATAGCAATACTGTTGATAAATGAATAGCAATACTGTTGATAAATGAATAGCAATTCTGTTGATAAATGAATAGCAATACTGTTGATAAATGAATAGCAATACTGTTGATAAATGAATAGCAATACTGTTGATAAATGAATAGCAATACTGTTGATAAATGAATAGCAATACTGTTGATAAAGTGGATAGAATGACAACAGGTTTCCCATTAGATGACATTTATGATGTCAGCTTTACATTGACTTTAAACCTCTGCCTATCATTGCCTTGTGAGCAAATGTTGCTCTATACACAACTTGGATATTACTACAAACTATTCTCGTTATTTTCTAATTCAATGAACCGTTTCAATTTAAAATTAATATTGCATTCATTCAAAAAAGACTTCCCCTTTGTTATTTTGATTACCTAATTTAATTCTTGCAGGTGCAAAGGTATGGAACGAATGGAAGCGAGGGGGTTAGTGCCCAACTGCTGTCCCAAAAGTATTCAGATACCAGACCTAGGTCAGTAGGACAAACCTCATTCAGCCCTAAGTTTACATGTTAGGGCATGGAACATATCTCACTAAATCTCATTCAGCCCTAAGTTTACATGTTAGGGCATGGAACATATCTCACCTCATTCAGCCCTAAGTTTACATGTTAGGGCATGGAACATATCTCACCTCATTCAGCCCTAAGTTTACATGTTAGGGCATGGAACATATCTCACCTCATTCAGCCCTAAGTTTACATGTTAGGGCATGGAACATATCTCACCTCATTCAGCCCTAAGTTTACATGTTAGGGCATGGAACATATCTCACCTCATTCAGCCCTAAGTTTACATGTTAGGGCATGGAACATATCTCACCTCATTCAGCCCTAAGTTTACATGTTAGGGCATGGAACATATCTCACCTCATTCAGCCCTAAGTTTACATGTTAGGGCATGGAACATATCTCACCTCATTCAGCCCTAAGTTTACATGTTAGGGCATGGAACATATCTCATCTCATTCAGCCCTAAGTTTACATGTTAGGGCATGGAACATATCTCACCTCATTCAGCCCTAAGTTTACATGTTAGGGCATGGAACATATCTCACCTCATTCAGCCCTAAGTTTACATGTTAGGGCATGGAACATATCTCACCTCATTCAGCCCTAAGTTTACATGTTAGGGCATGGAACATATCTCACCTCATTCAGCCCTAAGTTTACATGTTAGGGCATGGAACATATCTCACCTCATTCAGCCCTAAGTTTACATGTTAGGGCATGGAACATATCTCACCTCATTCAGCCCTAAGTTTACATGTTAGGGCATGGAACATATCTCACCTCATTCAGCCCTAAGTTTACATGTTAGGGCATGGAACATATCTCACCTCATTCAGCCCTAAGTTTACATGTTAGGGCATGGAACATATCTCACCTCATTCAGCCCTAAGTTTACATGTTAGGGCATGGAACATATCTCACTAAACCTCATATATGGCTGACACATAGATAAACTCTACTTCACCTTCCTGATAAACCACCAGGTCAGAACTTAGATAACAAAAAAATTGAAAGAAAATTGTTAAATCTTTCTACTGGGCAAGGCTGATTATTTTGTTATATTTTGTTATATCTTTCTACTGGGCAAGGCTGATTATTTTGTTATATTTTGTTATATCTTTCTACTGGGCAAGGCTGATTATTTTGTTATATCTTTCTACTGGGCAAGGCTGATTATTTTGTTATATTTTGTTATATCTTTCTACTGGGCAAGGCTGATTATTTTGTTATATCTTTCTACTGGGCAAGGCTGATTATTTTGTTATATCTTTCTACTGGGCAAGGCTGATTATTTTGTTATATCTTTCTACTGGGCAAGGCTAATTATTTTGTTATATCTTTCTACTGGGCAAGGCTAATTATTTTGTTATATTTTGTTATATCTTTCTACTGGGCAAGGCTAATTATTTTGTTATATTTTGTTATATCTTTCTACTGGGCAAGGCTAATTATTTTGTTATATTTTGTTATATCTTTCTACTGGGCAAGGCTGATTATTTTGTTATATCTTTCTACTGGGCAAGGCTGATTATTTTGTTATATCTTTCTACTGGGCAAGGCTGATTATTTTGTTATATCTTTCTACTGGGCAAGGCTAATTATTTTGTTATATTTTGTTATATCTTTCTACTGGGCAAGGCTAATTATTTTGTTATATTTTGTTATATCTTTCTACTGGGCAAGGCTAATTATTTTGTTATATTTTGTTATATCTTTCTACTGGGCAAAGCTAATTATTTTGTTATATTTTGTTATATCTTTCTACTGGGCAAGGCTAATTATTTTGTTATATCTTTCTACTGGGCAAGGCTGATTATTTTGTTACTCAAAATTTGTAACTGAATTAATTGGAATAAAATACTAAAATCACAGATAAAGAAATAATTGTTGAATCGCTGGTCTAAATGATTGAAACTAAACAAGTAAATATTCAGTATGGACATATGTAAATGTTACACGTCAAATAAAATACTATGAATCGAAAATAAAACATAGGTATAGACTTTTTTTGAGCAGATGTTTTTTCTTTCTTAAGATAAAGCAAAACACAAATTAGCACCTTATAACGTTTAAACTATTTTAACCTGTGTTAAAATTAATTACCTAACAATCCTCCTAAAGTTAGTATAAAACTGCTCTAAAAATATCAACATTAGAGGAGGTTATCTCCCTTGCAAAAAGTCAGAATAAAACATCTGTGGCTAGTTTTTACTTTCTTGTATATACAAAGTATTGAGTCTTGTAATCGAGCAAAAAAAAATTGAGATTAGCTGCAAATCTCGACCCTTTTACAGCTCCCTGAATCGAAAGAACAGTTTTGCAATCTTGTCTGTATTTGTGTGTGTGTGTCTGTAAACATGAAAACTTGAGTATCATTACAGCTTGGTTGATAAAATTTCATATATAAGTATTATATCAAAATCGTAGATCCATATCAACTTTTGAGCAATTTCCGATAACCGGAAGTGGTACTTTTTCTACTTTGAATTTTTCAAAAGCCTATACACTTGGTATGTGCCTAGAATCTGACCACCAGTTTCCCCATTTGGCCAATCTGGATACAAAAACATAAGCCTGATATACAGAGCCCAAGTGCCCTAACGTTTTGGACCCAGTTTTTGGCATCAATTACAACAACATTAGGACAACAACATTAGGACCAACAACATTAGGACAACAACATTAGGACAACAACATTAGGACCAACAACATTAGGACCAACAACATTAGGACAACATTAGGACAACAACATTAGGACCAACAACATTAGGACAACAACATTAGGACCAACAACATTAGGACAACAACATTAGGACAACAACGTTAGGATAACAACATTAGGACAACAACATTAGGACAACAACATTAGGACAACAACATTAGGACAACAACATTAGGACAACAACATTAGGCCAACAAGATTAGGCCAACAAGATTAGGCCACAACAACGTTAGGACAACAACGTTAGGACAACAACGTTAGGACAACAACGTTAGGACAACAACGTTAGGACAACAACATTAGGACAACATTAGGCCAACAAGATTAGGCCACAACAACATTAGGACAACAACATTAGGACAACAACATTAGGACAACAACATTAGGACAACAAGATTAGGAAAGGTGCTCTCTAGTTAGAACAGCTTTCCCAGATGGGACAATTTTATTTTTCTTTATCACAACCTCACAAATGATCAGGGGACACCTTTATTTTTCTTTATCACATCACAACCTCACAAATGATCAGGTGACACCTTTATTTTTCTTTATCACATCACAACCTCACAAATGATCAGGTGACACCTTTATTTTTCTTTATCACATCACAACCTCACAAATGATCAGGTGACACCTTTATTTTTCTTTATCACATCACAACCTCACAAATGATCAGGGGACACCTTTATTTTTCTTTATCACAACCTCACAAATGATCAGGGGACACCTTTATTTTTCTTTATCACAACCTCACAAATGATCAGGGGACACCTTTATTTTTCTTTATCACATCACAACCTCACAAATGATCAGGGGACACCTTTATTTTTCTTTATCACATCACAACCTCACAAATGATCAGGGGGGATTCTTGTCTATAGTCTGACAGTTTATACCCATGCCTGCCATATATGTCGCATCACAAATGATCAGGGGGGATTCTTGTCTATAGTCTGACAGTTTATATCCATGCCTGCCAGTCTATAGTCTGACAGTTTATATCCATGCCTGCCAGTCTATAGTCTGACAGTTTATATCCATGCCTGCCAGTCTATAGTCTGACAGTTTATATCCATGCCTGCCAGTCTATAGTCTGACAGTTTATATCCATGCCTGCCAGTCTATAGTCTGACAGTTTATATCCATGCCTGCCAGTCTATAGTCTGACAGTTTATATCCATGCCTGCCAGTCTATAGTCTGACAGTTTATATCCATGCCTGCCAGTCTATAGTCTGACAGTTTATATCCATGCCTGCCAGTCTATAGTCTGACAGTTTATATCCATGCCTGCCAGTCTATAGTCTGACAGTTTATATCCATGCCTGCCAGTCTATAGTCTGACAGTTTATATCCATGCCTGCCAGTCTATAGTCTGACAGTTTATATCCATGCCTGCCAGTCTATAGTCTGACAGTTTATATCCATGCCTGCCAGTCTATAGTCTGACAGTTTATATCCATGCCTGCCAGTCTATAGTCTGACAGTTTATATCCATGCCTGCCAGTCTATAGTCTGACAGTTTATATCCATGCCTGCCAGTCTATAGTCTGACAGTTTATATCCATGCCTGCCAGTCTATAGTCTGACAGTTTATATCCATGCCTGCCAGTCTATAGTCTGACAGTTTATATCCATGCCTGCCAGTCTATAGTCTGACAGTTTATATCCATGCCTGCCAGTCTATAGTCTGACAGTTTATATCCATGCCTGCCAGTCTATAGTCTGACAGTTTATATCCATGCCTGCCAGTCTATAGTCTGACAGTTTATATCCATGCCTGCCAGTCTATAGTCTGACAGTTTATATCCATGCCTGCCAGTCTATAGTCTGACAGTTTATATCCATGCCTGCCAGTCTATAGTCTGACAGTTTATATCCATGCCTGCCATTCTATAGTCTGACAGTTTATATCCATGCCTGCCAGTCTATAGTCTGACAGTTTATATCCATGCCTGCCAGTCTATAGTCTGACAGTTTATATCCATGCCTGCCAGTCTATAGTCTGACAGTTTATATCCATGCCTGCCAGTCTATAGTCTGACAGTTTATATCCATGCCTGCCATTCTATAGTCTGACAGTTTATATCCATGCCTGCCAGTCTATAGTCTGACAGTTTATATCCATGCCTGCCATATATGGAGCAGCTGTGGTGCTATCCAGTGCCCAAAACATTTTACTTGAGGACATCTAACTATAGATTAGTCATGTGAGCCACTCACCACTAACTATAGATTAGTCATGTGAGCCACTCACCACTAACTATAGATTAGTCATGTGAGCCACTCACCACTAACTATAGATTAGTCATGTGAGCCACTCACCACTAACTATAGATTAGTCATGTGAGCCACTCACCACTAACTATAGATTAGTCATGTGAGCCACTCACCACTAACTATAGATTAGTCATGTGAGCCACTCACCACTAACTATAGATTAGTCATGTGAGCCACTCACCACTAACTATAGATTAGTCATGTGAGCCACTCACCACTAACTATAGATTAGTCATGTGAGCCACTCACCACTAACTATAGATAAGTCATGTGAGCCACTCACCACTAACTATAGATTAGTCATGTGAGCCACTCACCACTAACTATAGATAAGTCATGTGAGCCACTCACCACTAACTATAGATTAGTCATGTGAGCCACTCACCACTAACTATAGATTAGTCATGTGAGCCACTCACCACTAACTATAGATTAGTCATGTGAGCCACTCACCACTAACTATAGATTAGTCATGTGAGCCACTCACCACTAACTATAGATTAGTCATGTGAGCCACTCACCACTAACTATAGATTAGTCATGTGAGCCACTCACCACTAACTATAGATAAGTCATGTGAGCCACTCACCACTAACTATAGATTAGTCATGTGAGCCACTCACCACTAACTATAGATTAGTCATGTGAGCCACTCACCACTAACTATAGATTAGTCATGTGAGCCACTCACCACTAACTATAGATTAGTCATGTGAGCCACTCACCACTAACTATAGATAAGTCATGTGAGCCACTCACCACTAACTATAGATTAGTCATGTGAGCCACTCACCACTAACTATAGATTAGTCATGTGAGCCACTCACCACTAACTATAGATTAGTCATGTGAGCCACTCACCACTAACTATAGATTAGTCATGTGAGCCACTCACCACTAACTATAGATTAGTCATGTGAGCCACTCACCACTAACTATAGATAAGTCATGTGAGCCACTCACCACTAACTATAGATTAGTCATGTGAGCCACTCACCACTAACTATAGATTAGTCATGTGAGCCACTCACCACTAACTATAGATTAGTCATGTGAGCCACTCACCACTAACTATAGATAAGTCATGTGAGCCACTCACCACTAACTATAGATTAGTCATGTGAGCCACTCACCACTAACTATAGATAAGTCATGTGAGCCACTCACCACTAACTATAGATAAGTCATGTGAGCCACTCACCACTAACTATAGATTAGTCATGTGAGCCACTCACCACTAACTATAGATTAGTCATGTGAGCCACTCACCACTAACTATAGATTAGTCATGTGAGCCACTCACCACTAACTATAGATTAGTCATGTGAGCCACTCACCACTAACTATAGATTAGTCATGTGAGCCACTCACCACTAACTATAGATTAGTCATGTGAGCCACTCACCACTAACTATAGATTAGTCATGTGAGCCACTCACCACTAACTATAGATTAGTCATGTGAGCCACTCACCACTAACTATAGATTAGTCATGTGAGCCACTCACCACTAACTATAGATTAGTCATGTGAGCCACTCACCACTAACTATAGATAAGTCATGTGAGCCACTCACCACTAACTATAGATTAGTCATGTGAGCCACTCACCACTAACTATAGATTAGTCATGTGAGCCACTCACCACTAACTATAGATTAGTCATGTGAGCCACTCACCACTAACTATAGATTAGTCATGTGAGCCACTCACCACTAACTATAGATAAGTCATGTGAGCCACTCACCACTAACTATAGATTAGTCATGTGAGCCACTCACCACTAACTATAGATTAGTCATGTGAGCCACTCACCACTAACTATAGATTAGTCATGTGAGCCACTCACCACTAACTATAGATTAGTCATGTGAGCCACTCACCACTAACTATAGATTAGTCATGTGAGCCACTCACCACTAACTATAGATTAGTCATGTGAGCCACTCACCACTAACTATAGATTAGTCATGTGAGCCACTCACCACTAACTATAGATTAGTCATGTGAGCCACTCACCACTAACTATAGATTAGTCATGTGAGCCACTCACCACTAACTATAGATTAGTCATGTGAGCCACTCACCACTAACTATAGATAAGTCATGTGAGCCACTCACCACTAACTATAGATTAGTCATGTGAGCCACTCACCACTAACTATAGATTAGTCATGTGAGCCACTCACCACTAACTATAGATTAGTCATGTGAGCCACTCACCACTAACTATAGATTAGTCATGTGAGCCACTCACCACTAACTATAGATAAGTCATGTGAGCCACTCACCACTAACTATAGATTAGTCATGTGAGCCACTCACCACTAACTATAGATTAGTCATGTGAGCCACTCACCACTAACTATAGATTAGTCATGTGAGCCACTCACCACTAACTATAGATTAGTCATGTGAGCCACTCACCACTAACTATAGATTAGTCATGTGAGCCACTCACCACTAACTATAGATTAGTCATGTGAGCCACTCACCACTAACTATAGATTAGTCATGTGAGCCACTCACCACTAACTATAGATTAGTCATGTGAGCCACTCACCACTAACTATAGATTAGTCATGTGAGCCACTCACCACTAACTATAGATTAGTCATGTGAGCCACTCACCACTAACTATAGATTAGTCATGTGAGCCACTCACCACTAACTATAGATTAGTCATGTGAGCCACTCACCACTAACTATAGATTAGTCATGTGAGCCACTCACCACTAACTATAGATTAGTCATGTGAGCCACTCACCACTAACTATAGATTAGTCATGTGAGCCACTCACCACTAACTATAGATTAGTCATGTGAGCCACTCACCACTAACTATAGATTAGTCATGTGAGCCACTCACCACTAACTATAGATTAGTCATGTGAGCCACTCACCACTAACTATAGATTAGTCATGTGAGCCACTCACCACTAACTATAGATTAGTCATGTGAGCCACTCACCACTAACTATAGATTAGGCATGTGAGCCACTCACCACTAACTCTAGATTAATAATGTGAGCCACTCACCATTTGATGTCATCTGTATGGCCCAGGTAGTGCCTCTGTGTCTGCTCCTCCACGTTGTGTAGCACCACCACCGCTGCCGTGAAGTAAATGACCTCACCAGTGGGCAGGTAGTACAGGTTGGATCTGCAGTCTCGACCTCTGTAGCCATAACTGCTTCAAGTTAAGGTCACAATAACCAGTCAATCACCCATTCAAGGTAAGGGTGACCCAATGGGGCACCACCCAACCCTGGTGACCTAATGGGGCACCTCCCAGCCCTGGTGCCCTAATGGGGCACCTCCCAACCCTGGTGACCTAATGGGGCACCACCCAGCCCTGGTGACCTAATGGGGCACCTCCCAACCCTGGTGACCTAATGGGGCACCACCCAGCCCTGGTGACCTAATGGGGCACCTCCCAACCCTGGTGACCTAATGGGGCACCACCCAACCCTGGTGACTGTGAATGGATACACCCACTCAAGCTCCAGTTTCTCCTGTGGTGCTTCTGATGGGAGAGATGGGTTGTAGTCTGTCACATCTGAAGGCCCATAAAAATTGCTGGCTCTCCCTCGGATGTACAGTCTCAGACATCCCTCATCTGGAGGAAATCAAACATTACATCATTACATTACATCATTACATTACATCACATCATTACACCTCGGTACATCAAGCTGTCTCAACACCTGGGTACAAGGTGTCTCAACAGTAATAATACAATATCACTAAATGCTACCTGACAATCAAAATGTGACTCACCAGAGTTCCACTGGGCTTCTTTAGATCTGAAAAAATAAATTTGAACATTTTATATTTTGACATTAATTCAATACATTATTCCAAACTTTGCTTCTTCAATTTATTATTTTTAAATGGTTTTATTTATGTTTAATTACTACTAGATATGTAAAATTATGCTAGATATTTGTTATCACATATTGATGCAGAGGCATAGCAAGCCCTCTCGGCGCCCGGGGACAAACTTTTAATTTTGCGCCCCCCTCCCATACATTTTTTATATTTATAATTCAAAACTGCAGCTAAAATAAGCTTTTAATTATTTTTTTCCAACTTATCTTGCCCCCCCCCCCCCCCCCCCCACCCTTCAATGCTATGCCTCTGTTCTGATGTCAAAGTGATATAGTTAACAAAAAATATTTTAAGTAATGAGAGGGAAGTTCCATCACCCTGTGAGTTAAATTAACTGTGTGAATGAGAGATGTGTGAGTAGGTCAGGTCAGGGGATGTGTGAGTAGGTCAGGTCAGGGATGTGTGAATGAGAGATGTGTGAGTAGGTCAGGTCAGGGGATGTGTGAGTAGGTCAGGTCAGGGATGTGTGAGTAGGTCAGGTCAGGGGATGTGTGA